TACACCATTTATATGACACAGAGCAGTCTGAGTGCAGGTTCAGATTTTAATAAAAACATACAAGATATTCACAAAAAAAAAATCAAAAAATGAAACCAAGTTCATTTGCTCAAGTAGCCTACGAAGTATCCATCTGAGGTCATTGTCCTTTACTCATGTAGCTACTTCATACTTTTTCAAAAGGAACATACACTTTAAGCTCCACTGCCTTCAACTGACATTTATGGTCACTATAGCTAAAGTTTTTATTTTTTACATACAACACATACAACAGGCTGATAAATGAATGTTACTAAACATAATTATAGATTAAACTACCCAACAGTATATACAGCAGTCAGTAATATTGGGGAAATAAAGTATTAAGAATTCATTCTGGCACTACAAGTACTTTTACTTTTGTTACTTTAAGTAAATTTTGCTGATGCCACTTTTACATACTTCTGGTAAGGTTCTGATTGCAGGATTTTACTTGTAAAAAAAACAAACAAACAAAAAAAAAGTATAAAGCTGTAGTATTACTAATTTTGTTCATGTATAATGCCTGGAGACTGTTTCCATCACAGGTGCTGTTTTACCCAACAGTGAAAAGTGGCTCCAAACTGACGAACTACATTAAAATACTCCCTAAACATGTATCTATCTATTGATGATTCGGTAATATAATGTGGGATTTTATTCTAAATAAGATTACTTTCCATGGGATTACTTTTGATGCAAGTATTCTGTTGATATTATCTCATAATGTACTAAAAATTTGAATTTAAGTCTTATTCTTTCGACTTTTACTTATTTAAATAAGATTTCTGTCAAGACTAGTGGCCAAAGAAGAGAATTTATTTGCTGTGTCTTTATTGTAAATGTTTAATGACGTCGCTATCGTCGATCCAAGACTATTGAAGAAAGTTGCCAGGAGCAATATAAAGCGAAAAAACCCTCACAGGTAATTAAATGTGAACCATTCTGACACCTCGGCGTAAGTAAGAAGTCGGATCGAGATGTAATTAAGTGGCTTTTGAAATATGTCAGGGTAATAAGACGGACTTAGTCGTGGCTCTAGCACCTATCTGTGAAGAGGCTCACACTGAAGTGCAGCTCACTGTGCCACTGCGTGAAATTACACTAAAAAAGCCTATTTTTTCCCCCCTCTCGTGCGCGCTCATGAGCACGCGTTCACGTTTGGCAGCTCCACGTCGACATTCTTCCAGCTGCATATAGTGAACTGCACAGCACTGGGGGAAGAAAAGGTAAAAGCGGCGGTGGCCACCTTAACGATTAGAGCGCTGCAAGTCCGCAGACGGACATCAACCGCAGAGAAAACAGACGTTTGCACTGTGAATCCCGGCCATGGCCTGCAATGTCCTCAACTCGCTTTCTTGCTTTTGCATTTTATGATCCAGACTGTTTGCCCCTCGTGTTGGATTGCAGCTGGTCCCTTGCGTCTACCTACATCAGGTACAGTATGACTTGCACAACTTACTTTTGTCTTTATCATATTACGTCTTAAGGAAATCATTGTCAAGATACTGGTTAAAATGTGACAGAACTTGTTTGATTACATTGTTTTTTTTTGCACTGGTGGAGTTGCTTGTCAGTTTATTGCTGATGAAGAGCCAAGTTTCTTAACTACCTTCAAACTGATAGAACTTAACAATCCTGGAGCTCAGCTGGCCTCCTTGCACTTTCCTCATTGCTGCCATATCTGGTCTACATAGTTTAGTGAATAACTCATTCTCTCGGGGGCTTGTTCAATTTAGAAAGTTGTGAAAGCTCAACAGGTAGTGACACCCTGGTAGAGGAGTGAAATAATCCTCAGAAAGATAGCAGCTAAACTGTAAGCTTCAAACATGTCTGCCAATATAGAGATTGGTTAGTGTGTTAACTTTGCAATCAACCAGATGGTGAAGCTTAAAGCGGTAAGTAAATACACTGTGGGTTAATTTTTAGGGGGGGAGGGTGTACTACAGGATCAACTATTGCAGATGCCTGAATCATATTTTAAACAGTCAATCATTTCTATAGAGCTCACAATGTGTAAAAAGACTCCACCTGGCCTGCTTTACCTGTGTGACTCTAGGGAGGACCCACCACACAGCAAGGCTTTTCTGTAGGCCCGCTCCTGAAAGCATTCAGGTCTTAGCTGCATCTTGTTTTCTGGTCTTTAGCAGCTATTTGCTCTGTGACACTGCTGTAATTTGCACTGAAGTCAATGCAGTGAGAGAAAAGGAGATAATACAACATGGCTGTCCTGTTTTCCCTTGCTTTCTGTGCCTGGCTGCAGGTTATAGGAGCACCCTGCCATGAGGAGGATAAGGTTCCACACAAGGACAAACCTATGAGGTGGCACTGTGGCTTTCCAAATAAAGTTCTGTGATACACTTAGACTCTGATTGCCTGCAGTCAGTGCATTACAGAACTTTGTTTTGGGAGTTAAAACTTTAACCTGTGGGAAATAAATCCTCAAACATCTGGACGTTTTTTACTTTATGGCATTGTGTGCGATTGTGTCTGCTGACAAATGACTGTTTTCTCAAATAAAGTTTCTATTTTAAGCATTTGTCGCAGTCTCTGTCATTTTCTTTGTTGTTGATCATTTTTATCATAACTGACTTGTGTTTGTTCATTCATTTATGCACTGAAACTTGGTGTTAAATCATTAGTTAAATGGCAGCGCTGTGTGCCATATGGAAACACTAGTCACGCTGGTCAGGTGACTGAGTGGAGGTGAAGCAGAAAGGTAAACAGTGCTGTCACCGTTTCAAGTTTGCAACCACATCACAAGGCTTAAGCACAAGAAATCCTGACTATGTAGTATTTGCTGCAACAATAAAGTCTGACAAATTTGGGTTTTTACACACAATACAATTAAAAAGCATTAATTAATTTAGATTTAGCCTACCAGGATTACTATAATACAATAAATGAAAATAGCGTTGACAATTCCTACATCTGATTTGTGGGTCAAGTGTTTGATTAGTTGTATGTTTCCACTGATAGTCCAGTTTCCACTTCCCTGCATTATTCTAAGCCAAATCAAGAGGTTGTTAATTTCCATTGGCTCATTTTGCTGAAGTGTTTTTTTTTTTTGTTTTTCTACTTGAGAAACTTGTTAAACTGTTGAATATTCCACGCAGTAACCTCACAGGGTTCAATTGCTTTTGTTGTTTCTTAACAACCATCCAAACGGATTGTAAATTCCAGTCTGAACAGTCAATGAGCATATGCAACCAGTCCTATATTGCAAGGCATGCTGGGAAATGCGTTAAACGGTGCGTTCACGTGCTTCCCGTCAGGTCATATTTTCCAGAATGAATGAAAAGTGTCAGTTGTGTAACTATGTGCAACTGTGTTGTGTCAAGGTTGATCAAAGAGAATTACAACAAGATAAATATTTTATTATGAAACCTACTATAATTACAGCCAGGAGAGCATTTCTCTCATATCTGTCCTGACCTAAAGGAAAGCACACAAGATCACAACATCATAAGAACAAAGATTGCAGCTAAGGATTATTTTGAAAAACAAATTGTTAATGACTAATCTTCCAATTATTTTGTCATGTCCTTAAACTTCCGGTGCTTATTTTGACCAACTATACACTCCAAAAAATTCACTATCATGTTTAGTCAGGTCTAATCAGGTTTAATGTTTAATAAATTACTTTAATCAGCAATTTCCCTGAGGTTCATACCAAAGGGATCAATAAAGCTGTATCTATCTATCTATCTATCTATCTATCTATCTATCTATCTATCTATCTATCTATCTATCTATTAACTGTTTAAAATATTTATGATAGCAAGGTCAGACACCTCCATTAAGAACATTGTCTATTTTCTCTTGAAATACTTACATTTGAAACACATGAAAATTTGGAAGGCAATTAAAATTTAGAGGGTAAATTATAAAGGACTACTATTCATTTTATTATTATAAAACTAAATGTAATACCTTGAAAAGAGACATCCTCAACTAAAACCCAGAGACAATGCCCTCTTGGGGGAATCTTACCCTGACATGTCACTTTGATCAATACAAACTTGTTTCTTATGCATATTTATGCATGTTCATTATTTAATTTAATATTGGGGCTCTTACTTTAACTGCAACTTAAGGGCTACATAACTAATATATGCTAATTTAAATAAAACGTCTGATTAATTTAAAATTGAGGAATCTTTACTATAACTTTATTATCATTGATATTAAAATTCCTGACATAAAATAATGCCAGTGACCGGAGATGTTTAGTCTACAGCAGCAAGGAATTTAAACTAGCTAGCTAGTTTAGCATAATGCTATAAGCTTAACATAAAGTCAGTCAGTTAGCCTTTGAGACACTCTTACTAGCTATTGTGTTATTATTTTATTTGCAATTTACAATTTATCACAAATCTAACATTAGCAAGGCAACAAGACTGGAAATCACTCATGTCCATGTCAAAAGTCTTACTTTAACACTGCCACGTTACAAGAAAAAAGTTATTTTATGTTCAAAGTAATGAATAGGCCTCCACAGGACTCTCGGAAAAAGCAAGTGCATGTTTATTCATATAAAATAACACAGGGGCTTATTTTGTTCTGTCAAAATATTACATCAATATACCTCACAGCAGCTTCTTTTGATTTCCTCAGACCAGTAAAGTGATTTCAATGCTATTTAAAGATCAGCAACGTCGCTGTCATCCAAGGAAAGACCTAAAAATCGAAAATTGACGATATTTAGTGGTCGGGAGGGGAATTATAGTAGAGGGGTATCTTACCACGGTTTATACCACTATCTTATAATTATGTTGTAGTGTTCTCGGTGCTATTTCTCTCCAAACCTGGCAACAGAAATGTCCCCTTTTTTCCTAATCACCGGGTTTGCCCCCTCTGTGTAATTCCTGTGGACGGATCGTGATTTTTCCTGCGGGCTGTGAACGCAGCACACTTTCCCTGCGCTGACCTCTGACAGCCGCTCATGGATCCGCTCCCTCCCGTCACAAACACGGAAGCAGCATGGCGTCCAACAGCAGCGGCGGCGGCAGCTCCGACAGGCAGCGAATTGCACAGCAAAGACTGAGCAGAATTGCCGGACATCTACAGAGACCGGCGGACGATAACTCAGCCATCCTCGCCGCGGAGTGTAAAGCCCAGGGGAGCAAGTCAGGCGTCTCCGGCGGTGGGAAGACTGTGCCGAGGAGGAGGTACAAGGCTGTGATGGAGCGATGGACGAGGGTCCATCCTCTGTGGCTTTAGCTAGTTATTAAGTCAAACATCAGTGGGTTACCGGCTGAGAAGGAGCCAGTTGGGCGACATGCAATGACAGACTGGCTTTATTCTCTCCCCCAAACGTAAATAAGGTTGGCAGACGTAGCTGAAGTAGGTTTTAGTTAGCTTGCTAGCTAACGTTTGTTGGCGACAGACTAGCCAGTTATCTGCTACGGAGTGGGTGCGGTTGGCTTCAGGAGTTGGTGTGTGGTCGACTTTCTTAAAGTTAGTCAGCTGCAGCCAAAAATACATCGTCTCATTTGTCACGGGGCAATTTTTCAGTGTCAGTGAAAGTGTAAAAGCTTTACACAAGTGTTGACATGGTTGTTTTTTGTATGAATTTGTGCAGCTCCAGTTAATAAGTAAACTAACCGAAGTGGAGACTTTTACAACCCAGTTGGTCGTTATTGTAACACTGATTGTTATCTGTGGCTTTTGTATGTAATTCAACCTCTTTGTCATTCAGTAACTCTGCATGTTCTGTGTGATTTGTTTCGACTGGTGGCTGTACTAGTCAAACAGGCTAGACGTGCTAACAGGTTAGTTGGAATCACTGAGGTCTGGGGTTTTATAAGAAACATACTTTAGGAGAACTGACTGTTAGAGCAGTAGCGGCAGACAGAGAAACTTCTGTCTCCTCTGCTGATCTGATTGGTCAGGACGAGTGGTGGCCTGACTTTCAACCTATTGGCAGCTCGGTTCGTCTTGAGGAAGTGCCACCACGCTGTGCTGACATCTAGTGTCAGTGTGAGATAACAGCACCAACTCCCACAATCTCAACTCCAAAGTTTTGTTCATTTGGCCTTGTGAAGTGCATCACGTCCTGTCCTGGACAACATGACATGATGTGTGATAATGTGGCGAAAATATTATGTCTTGCAGTCTTGTCTGTAGCACCAAATCTTGCTTGATAGTGCAGAACTGTGGATGGGTAAACAGCAGGTCTGTCTATTACTTTCTGCAGAATTTAGTCTACTAACTCAATGAGGCTGCAGTGTGGAGTAAACACAGAGCAACAAACAGTGTTTCTGTAATGCTACAGGAACATTTTGACAATGTAGAGAATTTCAAGTATGTATTAGGTGTGAGACGAGCGGTTGGTGTCATCCTTTTGTTTCGTTGTGTGCATTGGGTACCTTCCAAAGACTTCCAGGACTTCCTTGGCACAGCTCTTGCCAAATTTTTCGAGGCATCTTTCTTGCGTGGCGAGTGAGATGCTTTCAAGCAAACATCCTGATTTGCATGTTGTGTGTTTGTCATCTCTCAGCCACTACTGAAGTGTTAAAGGGTTATATTTTCATGTTGATTTAAAGCAGCCTTCCAACCTAAAGTTCTGTGGTGTAGTACAACAAACCGACAATAAACTATTCCTGTGCCAATCATTTAGTGTTCAAACGATATTCTAAAGGTGCTAGTTTCTTTTTGAGGATGTGGTTTGAGGTGCTTTTGAAATTTGTTGCAACATACTAAGACCTGAGCTCATCTGACTTCTTAATCTGATTGACACAACTTGTGCCCTTTGTTTCTGTTCAAAGAAGCAGCATAATTGTATAAAAACATAGTCAATAAGTTGAAATGCATAGTGTCTCGAAATTGTAGCACATATATATATATATATCTCCAGAGGATGGCATATTAGTCGAGCAATTAAAGATCCTTCATGATTCAAGGAGATTTTATTTTTTTGAAGATTGTAATGTTCAGTTTGTTCACATTCCTTTCTTTAAACATCCAATTAAACCACATCAAGGCAATTCTATTTATGTGCCCCAAAGTGATAAGTCCCAGATTTTCCTCACTATCTGTAAAACATATGGCTTCCTCTATCCTTGGAACAGATTTCACTGAGGACAAAACTCTCCAAAAGAAAACCTTTAAAGAGGGGGAAAGAAAGGGGGAAAAACGTCAGGAAGAGCACCAGAAGATGGATCTCAATTCCAGGATGGACAGACAAGCAACAGATGTGTGGAGTCACAGGCAGGGAAGAGCTCAGCTTATCAAAAGAAGTTCATTAAGACCGACATTTTTGCCTTTAAACAGAAGCTTGCTAACGGCCTGGAGTTGTTTGTTGGTAACTTTAGCAGGAAGGTTGGTAATCTGCGTCCACGCTGACCTTGCCGAGCGCTTGCCCCGTTCATTCATACAGCTTTACTCGGTATGTTCAGCAGCTATTACAGCCTATCTGTGGCGGTGAGGCTTCATTAAAGTGACTCGGCGTGTCACTCTTATTTCTGCAGCCACTCGTAATTTATAGGAAACTCCATTTTGGCTGGTGTTAATCTTAATAATGGCTTTTACTTTACCGTGCTAGCATGCCAGCCCAAGTGACTCATGAGTTATAGTTGATCTCTGAGTGGTTGTATAGCTGCAAAGAGTGCAGCACACCAGTCTGCACAGGTACAGACAATAAAGCGTCATGTTTGCTTGCGAAGCTGATGATTATATTGAAATATCCCTTAACAGTGACAGAGCAGCAGAATTTGCATGACAAATTCCACATCTTCTAGCAAACACAACCATTTCTAGTATGTGTTGCCTTCTTCCCAGTGTGGTTCGTGTTTGTACATCAAACATCAGAATGTGTGGTTTGTGTTTGGGTGCCATTTGAGTGGTTGTCTAAATGAAGATTCTTTGTTCGGTGCAAACATTGGGACCTTATCATCAAACCTGAGCAGTGTTGAATGCCAGATAGCTACCATCAATGTAAAATAGTTGGACGTATTAAATGGAATTTGCTATCAGCTAACAGAGAGTTTCTGCTGCCTTCATCTGTTTATGAATGTGTGTTTTGAATATGTCACTTCTGCATTTTCATAAGAGATGTGCATTTGCAAGCCTGTGTGCGAAGCATTTTGTTGTGATAGACACCAAGGGAATATTGTAGGTGTGTCTGTCTGCAGCCTCTCATACTTTACATTTTTTACCTCTTAGAGACGCACAAAATAAACAGAGACTGTTAATGATTGACTAAAAAATATGAGAGTTTTGCTTTGACTGTTAGTGCTATCCTCAAAGTCTGGGTGTTCAAATATCAGCACAAAGTCTCAGATTATAAAGAGGGACCTTTCTTTCTTTTTTTTTTTTTTTTTTTTCATGTTGGGGAAATTGCCTATGCCAAGCCAGTATAAGCCCAAAGGAGCTGTGGTAGCAAATTAAGACCATACCAGGCCACCACACCCAGGAATAATCCTCACACGTGTCTTTGTAACTTCCTCTGGTGATGGTGGTTCAGATCATGTCTAAACAGATTAAGGCATATGACTTGCTATCCTAACCTGTGCCCGTATTTGTTTTTTTTCTTCCACAGGCAGGAGATCATGAAATGGAACGGCTGGGGATACAACGACTCAAAATTCTTCTTCAACAAGAATGGCCAAGCAGAATTTACTGGCAGAAGGTAAAGTGGAGTATCACACATCTATTGTTATATTCTTTTCTGCTGATGATTTAGAGAAAACAATTAGCGCTAGGGCTCATTCACTGCCTCTAATCTTGTTTTAGTCACTGTGCTAAGCTTCAGCATTCATTCTGTTTGTGTGCCTTGAGGCTGGAGTTATGCATTAATCTTTTTCGCAGCACCTACTTTGAACCCAGCTTTGGAAATCAGTCGCTGTCGCCTTCCTACGCTCACAACAATGTGGTGCTACTGCCACCTGGTGGTTGGCATTTAAACGCTTCATTGTCATCCGAGAAGGTCACTGGTTGTGATTTTCTGCTCTCCCAAACTCTGTTGCTCATTAACAGAAATGACTTTCCAGTTTGTTAAAAAAAGAAAAAAAAAATCATGTAATGTTGGTTAATATTTATGTGTCTCAGGAGAATTCTGGGTTTAATTCGCAGAATGTTGGAGATGTTAAAATATTTACTCTGAATAGCTGCAGGTGTCCAGAAATATAGCTGTCGTCCTCAATCTTACTGAATGTGGCTTCAGTTTAGAACAGAAAGAATAGCTCTTTTCACACCTCTGTCTGTGCCTCCCACAGTAAGAGCAGCGGTATATGTGGCTCTTGTTTTTGTAATCATCGGCTTTGGGAGAGACTGCCTTGCCTGTCAGACAGTCAAAACAGAGACCTGGCACAGCGTGCATGAGGGTGTATTTTGAGTAATGAGTTGAGCCGAGCAGGACGTCGCATAGCAAATTGTTTCCTCTCGCTCAAGCACTTGCCACGAACTGCTTTGTGCCCTCCTAACTGAAAAGTTACCTGTACAGCAACCAAGGCTAGACTGAGCGCTCGCTGTGACAGAAGGTTTTTCATTATAGAGTGTGTTTCATGGTGTCCTGGACAAAGCCACGCCACAGTCCCCTGATGGGCTGGCCCGGTCCGTGCCAGCAGCTCAATTATGCAAAAAAATGGTGAAAGCAATCGCACAGGCAGCACTGTCACTGCTGCTCTGCTTGTCTAATAACCTCATTGGACTCAAACCTCATACTCTGCTTTTCCAAATGAATTGGCCCAGTCGGGCATTTAGATGTTTCAGTTCCAGATTGCTGCTTCTAGTGCTGAAAATCACAAATACATGAGACTTTATTGACTCTTTTTTTATTTGTAATTCTCACGATCTGTCCTCTTTTACACGATCCAGGTATAGACTGAGTGGTTTGATCATCCCGGGTCTCAAAGACTGGTTCGAAGTCACGTTTGGCGCCAGTGTGCTGCATAAAACTCTCGCGCCTGTGAGTGCAATCCGTGTTTGTTTGTTGTGTCTTCAGTGAATGGGAATGTGCAGCACTTAGTCACTGCTACTGAAACCACAATGGTTTGTTTTGTTTCAGCCCATTCTGAATAGCAGCGCCGTGCAGCCTCCCACTCTAAATGAGGCCTTTGTAGAGGAACTGAAATCTACAGGTATTCCCTCCTCTCATGACGCAGAAGACCGGGTGTTTCGTGCTCACGGTAAGGCAAAGAATCACACATAAATTGGAATTGTGTAAATTGTAGCATGCGTAATTCTCTGTTTAATCTGGTGGAAATGCATTTATTTTGTGATTAATTCAAAGCTTTATACGCTCGTGTTGTCTCGTACTGTGTTTTCTTCCAGGCCACTGCCTACACGAGATCTTCGCTCTGAGAGAGGGGAAATTTGGTCGTATTCCAGATATGGTGGTATGGCCAAGTGAGTTCAGAAGCTGTGCTATTACTGTGATTTTTTTTTTTTTCCCCATTGGTCTGTTTGTCTCCTCCCACGTAGCATCACTGATCCCCCTACTGGCTTAGGTGATTTAAAGGGTTAATCTCTGCAGAGGCAGGGATATTAATATGTATGAGTGGAAGCTTAATAAGAAGCGTCAGGGGGAGGATGGTTGACACCCAATACTCCACAGTCTGGCCCTGCACAGTACACCCATGAATTATGATTCTGAGATTGGTTTTCTCTTGTTATGACTGGCACTATTTTATCATGCAAATGAGTTTTGACTGATGGTTGAAACTTGATTAGCAGCCTCCCAAATGGGCAGCAAATCACCCAAGCAACTGTTGGCGTCTTCTCATCCACGCTGGCACCAAATTTTAACTTTTCCAACCCTGCAAATGCCCCCTCATTCACTATGGATCCAATAGATATTTTGATCTGTAATTTGCATTCCTCTGTTGTCCCTCAAAGTCAAGCTGTGGATTTTAAGTGGATGTTTAGTTTGTCGAGCTATAATCCGCAGGCCAAAGCTGTGTGTTTAATTGGATGGCAAAATGCACCAGAATGTAAGCATTTCTCACTGCCTCTTAAAGCACTCGAGGCCAGTCATGCACATCCACGTAGGTGGGTATTGCCGCTCTTCCCACTCACTTACCACTACAGCGTGAATGGATGTGGGCTCCGTGATTGGTTGAAATACGTCTGTATTGATCCAGCACATCCCACCCAGGAGAGCGTTGCTTCATGCAGTCTGACTCCGCCTGAGGAAAGCCCCGGGCAAATCACAACCATCAGGCAAATCAAAAGATACCCTGCCTCTCTGCTGGTCCCCGTGCTCTAATGGCTGAGGCAATATAAATGTATACATTGTCAACTGTGTGCATGTAGTGCCATGTTCCATCTTTCATTTCCTTTGCAGTGTGTCTACTTTTGTTCTTGTAAGAATTCTTACGACAGCAGATGGTAAATGAAAACATTTCCTTTGTGATGGCCTCCAATTTTTTAAAATGATATTTGTCTTCGCAGACTGTCACAGTGATGTAGTGAAAATTGTGGAGCTGGCGTGCAAACACAACGTTTGTTTGATACCATATGGAGGTGAGTCATCAAATCAAATGCTTTAATCAGCTTTCATCCTATTTGCTTTCACGTACTTTTAATACATGGCATTAGATGTGTATTCACTTTGTGTGGATCAGTGAAACCTCATGATGTGGAAAGTACAGCGGGCACTTTGTGGGATTTTATGCCCTGCTGTGTGTATTTTGTACTGAAACATAAAAAAAGATACTACAGTACGCCCTCAGCTAAGCACATGATGTGGTTTCAGATCATATTTTTCCCTTTTCTCTGTCTCGACTAATGTCTCCTGTCGCTCACTACTATCAAATATATCATGACGCTAAAATGTCACAAATGAATCTTGTGTAGTGTCACAGCAGGTGGTGAATTGGTTTGTAAAAATCATAAAATCAATAAAATTCAGTCATTTATGCAATGAAATTTTGAAGCATCCAGTCATATCAGTAGAATATAATAAACTGCACCCTGTTGATGAGCTGCTTACATTATCCACACATTCATTTTAAACAATTGAAATTATTTCTTTGTGAAATAATAAAAAATATGATTCATGTCAGGCCTCATAATATATGTATATATACCTTAGTTTGATAAATATGGACATACTCATTTAACACAGGAAGCTAAACTAGTGAAATACACTAGTGTTTTATGATGCTTTGAAGAGGATTTTGAGTTCAATCACATCTTCTTTTGTTTTTATAAATTTGACAGTTTAGAATACTACATTTTACAGGCACATCTCAGTCACTACTCAGAAAGCATTAGCTCCTAAAAATTAAATTACTGTGATTGCAAATAGTGTTTATTCTGGAACCGAAATATGTTATAACATAAACACTGTCCAGTGTAGTTAGATGCTCGATTTGAAAGCTTCCCAGCCGTTTTCATGATATTTTAACTCATCAAAGCAAAGATGTATTAATGATGACTGCGTTCCACTTTAAAATGTTCTGCTTTTGTTCATGCTGGTTCACCGCTGTGGCTTTCTGGGACGCTTAAATGGAACTGAACCATTCTTATTTCCACCAGTGCTTACGCTCTTGTGAAAATGTCTGCTGTGAAAACGGGTCCTTTCTAACAGTGTGCTTCTCTTTCAGGAGGGACCAGTGTCTCCAGCGCCCTAGAGTGCCCCCCAGAGGAAGCTCGCTCCATCATCTCTCTGGATACCTCACAGATGGTACGTAAACACCTGTGTCTGTCTACGCATGTTAAAAGAGCTGATCTGCGCTAACGACCAGAATAACTGAAACCAAAGCAAATGCGTTCTGATACGCTTTAATAAATACTGTCATTATGAAGTCCTAAATGGCAGCTTTCTGAAACTGTACCTGAGAATACGTTGCATTCATTTTACATTAAGAGTGTTTCTAAATTTGTTTGTAAATGGGGATCGACACAGTGTGAAATACGGTCTTCAAATAATGAAATGCAGTGCTACACAAGCACCAGTGTCAAACGTGAGAGTGGAGCAAATTCAATACACTGACACTTAACCTCAAATGCAGCATAATGTCTCTCAAAGCTAGTAATTGCAGGGCTTCTGCATTGTTGTGCAAAAACATTTTCTGGTTTAACTGTTTATCTGGTCGTTGAGGTCAGAATAATAGCTTGAAGAGGGAGAGTCATGTCCTATCAGAATTCCTATTTAGAGACACCAGGCCATGAAGTAAGACGGTATTCACGTTTAATCAGATCAGACTTTTCTGTGTTTTTTTTTTTAAACCTGATATTTATTATTTAGCTTAGATTTATGCGAGTTGGAACTAAATCATTTCTGTGCAGCTTTCTGTGAATTTTTATATTCTAATGTTTCTTCTTTCTAAAAATGGAAAACTTTTCTTTTTATAGTCAAGTCACTTTTATGCAAATAACACATTTTTAACACCCACAGAGAATGACGCAAAGCGCTCTCCAATTTAGGCACATGAATTAATAGTGAAAGTATTAAAGGAGTCCACGATAAAATATGACTAGAAGCGGTGTCTTTCAGCGCTTTAAGCTGCTGTTGCCAATTTTAACTCCATGTTATTGCAATATGAGACCATAGTTTTTATATAGACCTCACTAGAAATGAATGAGTTTAATGCCAATGTGTTTTTTAATATATATTATTGTATGCTGCTTTGCCATTTTTGCAATGGTAATTTACTACATATTTAGAATATTGATAAAATGGATAAAATAATAAGTCAACCAACAGAAATGTATTATTATTATTTACATTTTTTAAAATTATTCATCCATTGTACAATCCAACTCTTAGTATTTGCTTCTGTTTTATATCAATATGAATGGAATACGTTTGGATTTTACACCAGACCTTTGATTAGACAAAAAAAAGAAGCTACTTGAAGACATCTTTCCCTTGTTTTCACATCAGTAATACAAATAAACTTGTTGAACTTGTTGTGGGAAGCGACCAAAATCCTGCACCAGCCATTCGTTTCAGCAGAATCTCACCTAAGCCACCATAAGCCCGATAATGTTTCATCGGATATAATATAAAATGGAGGAAATTGTCAGCAGTACAGTACAACCCTTTGATCTTGGCCCACATAGAAGTGATATACAAGCTGTCTGGATGCTGCGAGCCTACCAGTCATTGAGTTTGGTGCCATAGACATCAGCGACCAGTGTTGTGTGTCAGGGGTCAGAGGTCGGGTGACTCCAATGGAAGCACATGAAAGGAGCAGCGTGGTGGGGACATAAAGTTTACTACCTCTGCAGAATAATTGATGGCAGGTATGAGTTGACCTCCTGCAGGTAGGGGTAGCCCACGTGCCCAGTGGCCTAAATAAGAGGCATATATTTGGAATTTGATGTTAACCTCAAGGTAGCTGACTGCTGTCTCCGTCCCGTTGCCCCTGTGCGTATGTTTGTCCTCAGACATGCTGGTGAAAGGCTTACGGTGTTGAAAGCAAACTGTCAAGAGACTGTCTCCGTGGACTGCTGTTGAGTGCAGTGTTTATGTCGGAGATGTTTTAGGTCTGCATTAGAGATGTAGGCAGGTTTAGACTTCAGGTGACAGACGTGGTGATGTACAACGTTTTTATTAAGATCTTGTAACCGACATCAAAACAGCTGTTTTATTTAAATGAAACAAGCAGCATTATATTTTTCTCTATTGTATGACATCAAGAATTCATCCGAAATGTTTCTGACTTCCTCTGTCGTGCTGTTTGTTTGTCACAGAACCGCATTCTGTGGATTGACGAGAAAAATTTCACCGCCCATGTGGAAGCTGGCATCGTCGGTCAGGATCTGGAGAGAACGGTAAGTGCTGCTCATCTATCCGTGTTTATTCGCCAAAAGAGCTTCCATTAATGTAAAAACGTTGTGCCAGCACCCGAGCTGCGCCACCATTCGCGTGCAGGTTGTCCACGCTCAGTCACCTTGGTGCTCGGTAGATCTTACAGGGTTTACCAAGGAGTTTGAGACGGGAGCAGAGTGCTGAAGGGGAGAGATTAGAGAGTGAGACGGTGGTCATGAGCAGATGGCACCATCAAGCTAATTCAGAAAAATGGAGAAGGAGCGGGCGTTTGATGTAGAAGAATGCGTGAGCTGCATGTAAAGCAGACACCTCTGCATTTAGACTGGGCCGTTTTGATAGAGCAGATGGGTGTGCATTACAAACTGCCTTCCAGAGGAGTTCTGTGATAAAGCAAGGCCTGACTTTACCCTTGTGCTTCTGGGGGGCATTGTTGTTATACTTTAAGGTCTTTATTATTATTACTATTAAATGTTGGGCCTAAAGATGTAATCTTTCAGGGGTACGGCTGCCTTGAGGAGAATTTGTGGTTTCCTGATGACCTACACATTCTCCCCAAAGCTCTAGGGATGGTGCATCACTAATAACCCCAGAAGTACATTGTAACGTTGTTGTGCTCACATGGCAAATAAGATGGTCATTTACAGTACTTTGTGCATTGGGTGGGGCTGTACAAGCTGAATGCGCAGCTATCTTGCATCATAAAAAGTCTGAGGTTGAGCCTGTATAACACACAGATTTACATACATGTGTAAAAGTTTCTGTTTTACCATAAAGAGGCGTTAGCATGTTAACTCCACTCACGTTTACAGCCATCATTTTACACATGACATCAGTGCTGCAATCGGACTGAGATTTGGCACTGTCACATAATGCACTAATCTCTTTCCTTAGTCTTTTTGTACTTTTTTCACTTAGTTTATTTTCAGCCACAAAAGAAAAGATGCCATAAAACCTGAGTTTTTACATTCCCTTATAACTAGAGCAGTGAAATGCAGCAGCAGAGCTGCAATTATTTTTTCCCTTTGCTTGCTCATTCTTTTTGCTTGTTATTAAAACATTCTTGTGGGTTTACAACATCACTGTTTTTCAGACATTTCTGGCTCGCTTTTAAGTACAACAACAAACACATGCTTTCTTTCTTTTTTATCGCAGCTTAATGAGAGCGGCTACTGTACAGGGCATGAGCCTGACTCCATGGAGTTCAGCTCCCTGGGGGGCTGGGTAGCAACCAGAGCATCAGGCATGAAGAAGAACATCTATGGCAACATTGAGGACCTGGTGAGTCGCCTGCCCTCCCTTTTACCTTCCTGCTTGTGTTTGTTCCATCCGCAGGGTGAGTGCACAGGGATTAGAAAGGAAATTATTAGCAAAAGCTTTGTGGACTTTACTTTTCCCTCACCTCTAAAATGCAGCGATCACAGTGTCAGTTATGACATATGTGTGTGTCAAGCATGGCAATATCTAGATTATTTTATTTGTCAACATTTGTAAGTCTGTTAACTGCTGTGTGTTGTTTTGTTGTGTTTTGACTTAATAGGTTGTCCACATAAAGATGGTCACCCCACGAGGTGTGATTGAGAAGAGCTGTCAGGGACCACGCATGTCCACGGGGCCTGACGTTCACCACTTCATCATGGGCTCAGAAGGTTTGCTAACTTACTCATGCGATTTCAGTCCACCGGGGCATGTGGGTATATGTGCAGTTGTGTAAACGTGTGCGTTAATACGGGCTTGTGTGCATGTGTGTAAAATTCTGGTGATAAAACAGCAACATCAGGTCGGTTCTCATGCTGTGCGCCTCTTACACATTAACCAGCAGCGGTGGGAAAGTGATCTGGAGGGGTGTTAGTTAGGAACCAGCAAGTGTCCTCTGCACCCCATCTGCAGTGCCCTGTCCTTGTGAATGCCCACAGAGAATACTGCCATATGCCAGGTTCCCCCCTACATAATGAGGAGGTTCAGACACTCTTGGCATCGCTATGTTAAACAGCTGTGAATACAAACTTTATATTCACCCTACAAAGCTCAGCAATCTGCTCCCTGACTGGGCTGGGATTGCTGCAGAAGTCTCTATTTGTACTCATTAGAAGTGGTTTCATTTCTGGAACACGCCTTTAATTTGTATATTACTAATAATATATTTATATATTTGTATAAATACAAGCCTTGCAAAGTTGCCTTTTGACTATGCAAGCCAACAGTCACACCATATACTGTGTAAACTTGCTGCATTTGGGACATTTACCATTAAGTTATCAGCATTTATTTTTAGCCCGTATGAAGACAAAACGCTTTCTGGAGTCACATCAAGTTCATGTGTACACAGTGCATTCATCGTGTACTTCTCCTCTTGGTAAATTTATGGTCTTCTGTCTTCAGTTTCTAATCTGTCAAAGTGCACCTGATTAGTATGCATTGTGGTCTATAGCAATACAATATGGGGAGCCTTCACCACATTCACAACAATTGGGATAATTCAATTGTCTTGCATATTTGCTAATTATATTTCAGCCACCACTATACTGTGTATCCTTGGTGTGTACTTTATAGTGAGAGGGATAGGTTATGCAATTGGTCTTTTTAAAATCAAAGCAGATTTGACATAAATTCACACATTTAAAAGTATGTAAAATACCTCAAGCATTGTCCAAAATGTGTTAAACTTAAAGGAGAATGAACCTCAGAAATGTCAAAAAAGAAATAACAAGTTTGTTGCAGAGTAGATTATAAACATTTTATTTGTAAAATACATTTAATTACTGAAATTGAAAAATTGGCATCAGTCGGCTTGTAAATTCCTACAAAATTAATACAACCAGTACATTTTGCTTGCTTGCTTTATTTTTAAAAACGTGCTTGTATGATTCCTTATTGTTTTACCAGATCTGCTCTTTAGGTGAGAATATTGAAAATGCATTTAAAAATATGAGCAATTTTCACAGCACTAGAGAGAGAGTTCATTTGGATTTGCCTGATGTTGGAGTAAAACTGTGGATATCCAACATGCACCACATCTCTCCAAACTGAGCTTTGAGAGGGAGTCAGTTTATACGTTAAGACTGATAAGCTAAAGATGCGCTCGCCGCTGGGGTCGGTGCACGAAGCACAGATACGACGGGACCACACCTCTCTGAGAGAACATGTTCTTCAGGGAGGCCCAACACGAGCGCTAAGAGGTCACACAACCACACAGTCTCATTAAAATTATCTACCTCCTCACCCCGAGAACCCCACCCTGCGGTCTGACAGTAGGCCACAACAACAACAGCAAAGCGCCACACTAAAACCCTCAGCTATGTTCTGCATGCTAAGTGGAACGCATCCATTTTATTAGAAATTACTGTGAAACCTCAAGCTTCTCATTCTGTGCACAACATGGGGTCTGTCTATCTATCTGACCTTGAAGGAGCCTGAATGCAAAGCAGTTCTTCCCCCTCGCTACGACCAGTGTAAAGAATGATTGGAATGATCAATGATAATCCTCTCCTCTTCTAAAACCCCCTCAACCATGGAGAATTTAATATGAAGCCAATGATTGATTCTGTGGCGGCTTTACTGTGGTCAGTGTCTCCATACGGCTTTTTTTTTTTTCCTCCAGAAATGTGTGTTGCTAAAAGCAGAGAGGCGTTTCATCACGGATTCTCTGTATGCATGAACTTACAAAATCTGATTTGTTCATCACAGTAGAAATGGCTTAAGCTGCACTCCAGCTTGCATTGCATCTGTCCCGAGAGTGTTTTTCTGACGCTACCGCTCTTATTATCTCCCTTTAGTCCTCACTCGCTCACCCTCCTCTACTCCATAGCTCCTCCCTTCCTCTCTCTCCCTCTCTCTCCCTCTCTCTCTCCCATCTCAGTGGCTCCTCCTGCATCTGTCTGGAAGGAGGAGTCTTTCCTGGGAGAGGCCCAGCGGAGTCACATGTTTCCCACTGGGCCGCTAGGGAGCAGCATGTGGCATGTAGTGTCACATTAGAGGGCTCATTAACAACCATAACAGGCTGACAAAGCCTCCTAATGGACTATGTTCATGCATCTATACATCTATAAACGAACAAGGTCTATAATGATACATAACGTTCAGGCTGCTGGAAAGAAATCGGTTTGGTGCAGAGCGGTAGAATTCACACATTAGCTCTGTAACTAACAGCTATTTTCATCGTAGATTTTTTCTGATAAGAAGAAGAAAAACTGAAAAGTTCATTTCATTTCATGTAATGCAAGCCCTTTTGCACCTCTCATTTTGTCATAGATTTTTATTTTACAAAGCAGAAAATAGCAACTAATTTTCACATTTGAGAATCTACATTTCCCCTGATACAGCCCCTGTTACATATCCCAGGTTTTCTAATTTGTGGGTCAGTGATCACACGTGTATTCACCGTTGTTGCATTGAGCTTCTACCTTGGGACCTGAATTTATTTTTAGCATAGCCTTTGTAAAATATTTGTTTTTGATTGCTCAGATGAGGAAATATTTCTCTCTTCATTGTCTCGCTCAAATCGGCTGTGTTGCTCCCTTCTCTTTTCCTTCTGTTTAAAGAATACAGGGTCATACAGGGTGCTAAGTGACGTTTACAGTCCCTTCCCTGAAAGTGTTCATTTTGGTAAAAAAATATAAAAATGACATACAACTGGTGCCGCTATGGCTCACCTGGTTGAGCTGGCGTCCCATGTATAGGGGCTGCAGTCCCCAATGCAGCGGTCATGGGTTCGAATCCTGCTAATAACCCTTTGCTGCAGGTCCTTACCCCATTCTTCTCCCCCCACTTTCCTGTCTCTCCCTCTGTCCTATCTGATAAAGCCAAAAAATATCTTTTAAAAAAAACAACATACAAAATTCAAAGGGACCAGAGAGACTAAAATATTTGCACAGTTTCCATCAAGAGTAGTTCTTAAGGCTGTACGTTATATCTTGTTGGAGTGAATGCTTTGTTCACCTCGTGTGCACTAAAGCAAACAAAACACCCGTTTTTACAAAAGCACTGTTTATTGCAGGACTGTTGGATTTGCATCAGATATGAAAGGCGATTGTAATGTTTCTTGTCAGTCAGTGTAATTTCCGTTGACTTGTTTTGTGGTGAAAAGAGAGAAATCTTGTTCAGTAAGTTAAAGTCAATCTTGTGTCTTCTGAAAGAAAGTCAGAACAATATCTACATAATGTCGGAGTAAAACAAAGCGGGTGCTGGAAGATGATTGTCACGCATGCAGTCTCTCTGTTTTTTGTGATTTATTATAAAGTATAATCGGTATCAGAATCTGACGGGATGGCGAACAGCACTGCCGAGCAAGCTATAGATTACTGTGAACTTGTTTGATTGATAAGAAGTTTTTTTTTTGTTTTGTGGTTTTTGGGGTTTTTTGCAAGCATTTGGCATATTTGCTGTAGGAGGGAGAGCAGACATTCTGGTTTTCAAACAAGCAATGGGACTCCTTCAGCAGCAGCAGCAGCAGCTAATGACTGACAGTTTTCGGGGTCATAAGGTCAGCCAGAGGTTTCCTCGTACCTGTGTTTGTGTTGCTGCTCTTGGCCTCGGAGCCTTTGATAGAGCTCTGCTTTATTTCCTCTTGCTCTAAAGCTGATAAATCTTAGTTGTCCCCCAGTGTGTGGTAGAAAACCAGAACTACTAAGTGAAATGTGAGACAAAGGTCACCAAAGCGACCCCTGGGACGTGTACCAGAGCCTTGTAAAACGCTCTTAAGTTCCGCTGTAAGAGGGCTGGGTCATATAAATTGTGGGAACTGATATGCTTCTTTTTGTTCTGCTCAAAATCTCTCTCTGTGATTTTTCACAGGAACCCTGGGTGTGGTTACTGAGGTAACGATGAAGATTCGTCCAATGCCAGAGTATCAAAAATACGGCTCCGTGGTGTTCCCTAATTTTGAGCAGGGAGTCGCCTGCCTCCGAGAGGTTGCCAAACAGGTAACAAGCTAGTCTCTCTTTTAACATGTCCTGCTTTGTTGCTGCTTTTGTCTCAACATAAGCTTGAGTCCAGAAAGTTGTTTTTTCTTCTTTTTTTTTTTCATTGCATGTTTAAGGTTTTCCCAGACTTCAATAAACATCTTTTCAACTGAGCTGCTGAACATTAATCTATTTTGAGTGTTCAAATAGTTAGGCCCTTGGTAAGCTGTCCCACTAACCAAATACGACAAATTCTGAAGCAGAGTGAAAATCTGTGTTAAGAGCGCTAAGACACTGCAGAAGGTGTTAAGTTACAGCATCCTGAAACTAGAAAGGCATCTAATGTCTTCCAATCTGATTTTTGCCTGAAGTACTTTGTGCCCACTAATGTTTTATAGTTGATTATTTATCACCGACAAACCAAGCCTGCTTTTTTTTTCTGGGCCTACTGAGCACTTGAATCCTCTTGGTTGCAGTTTTTGTAGCACGTCCAACATCAGCCCTTATCAGAGCTCCTTAGTTCATTCTGGATTTAAATGTACACATTTTAATCTCACTTCTGGTTTTCCTGCTTTAATGTTACAACCAGAACACGACAAGCACATGAGGCCAGTGCAAACCTTCACTCTGCCATATTTGTCACATGCATTAAGTTAATGGAAGTGACTCGAAGTTCTATAAATTATATAATCGTGACGTCAAAGAAGAACCTAAAAGCTGTAAAGCCAAAGCTCCACCAGTTGCACTGAACATTTATGCTCATAGGTATAGGTTGACTTTGGTGTTATATTATTTGTAATTTTTATTTTGCTTCAGTAATTTGTCAGAATTCTGCCATTTTGTAAGAACTGTGACCCAGACAAACTAATACAGACCCGCTTGTTCCTTCTCAGAGATGTGCTCCAGCGTCTATACGGCTCATGGACAACGAGCAGTTTAGATTTGGTAAGTCTTATTTAACCCTTGTGGGGACTCTTCACTATAAAAGTTGGACTGTTTTTCACCTTGTTCTCTTTTTCAAATGCGTTTTTTCTGTTCGGGCCCCAATATAACTTTGCAACATTAGGCACACGACAGTCTTTTAACCAGCAGCAATCAGCTGAATTTCATTTCTCATACTTCATTTTTTGTCAATATTTTGGTTTGTTGTTTCGCTTAACAATAAATGGCAATAGTGTAGCTTGCAATCCTGTCACCCTCTACAGCACTGAATTGTTAAATAGATTATTATTTCTGCAGCAGCGTAGCTACACACACACACACACATGCACGCACACACAACCACAAAGATTTGAAGCAGGATGAAAAATAACCCTGGCCAAAATTAAGTAGTTGTTACATTGAAGTTTTATGATGTTGTTTCTTAAGGTCTAGTGGAATGCATCTGGCATTGCCAGAGATCTCTGTAAAGTTCCCCAGTCTCCGGGGATCTCATTATCTCCCCTATATTTCCACTTTTCACAGAGTAGGCACTTCTTAGCATTAAGTAGGGAAGATGAAGCGACCAGGTTTTTTACTAATAACTAAAACTCATGGCTCTATGATACCTTCTTGGGCTTGTTAGTGGCTTGTTCTTACTTTTAATCATGTTGGCTGTTGTTAAGTTGATGTATTCACAGGTTCCTTTCAGTTTGGGACTACAGGTACAATTTAGCACTGCCTGTCTTGACACATCAGATGAAAAATGGGAAGGTTGTAGTGAGGAGCGGCGTGTGTTGATATGTAAAAAAACCAACCAAACCGCAGAGGGGAGAGTTAAAAGTAAAATTACACTGAATGCAGGTGTAATTTTCTCTCTCTGGATTTTGAGTATTTAATTAACGAGTATGATGGCTGTGAGAGACCTTAAGACCTGCAATCAAATTTTGGAATGGAAACAATTAGGACACTAAGTGATGAAGAGACTTGAGCATGGGGGGAAATAAATGAACTGTTAAGTCTCGGCGACATCACCCATGACTTCCCCGCTGTGATTGATAACCATCCCATTGGCCCCAGCCCCTCATTTTCGCTTGTCCACAGGCGCTTTTGTGCGTCCGATCAGGAATAAATCAAAAAGTGTGGGTGAGGAAGACGGATATCACTGTGTCAACCCCACTTCCCTTCGGAAACTCTCTGATTTATAGTCGCTGTCGCTTGCAGCCACTGGCCAGTTGTAAAGTTATTCAAATGTTACCATTTATTTTTCCTCCTTTTGTTTGAAACCCCAAATAAATCTGACTCGCTTGCCCTCTCAGAACGCCGGAGGATACAAGCAGAAGTAGGGTTTGCCTAATGTGTGAAAAATAGCATTAGTTTTTGAGGCCCACTTCTGTGTGAATAAATGGAGTTGACTTTTATCTCATATTTTCACAGGTCATGCCCTGAAGCCTCAAGTATCTTCAATTTTCACATCCTTTTTGGACGGGTTGAAGACATTTTACATCACCAAGGTAAAAATAGTCAGAAGTGAACACCAGCAGATTTTTTCTTTTGGGTTTTTTTTTGCCCTCAGGTGTTTTCCATGAAAAATGAATCTACTTTTTAAATTTTCAGTTCAAAGGGTTTGACCCCAACCACTTGTGTGTGGCCACCCTGCTGTTCGAGGGAGATCGTGAGAAGGTCCTGCAGCATGAGAAGCAAGTTTATGACATCGCTGCAAAATTTGGGTAAGCTGTAGTTGCTGCCTTTCAAGTGCATCAGTTAAGGGCGATGACACAGAAATGTGCCGTTTGCTGCGAGTTTAATCATTACGTCGAGGCCCTGATGTCACCGTAGTTAACCGGACTTCACGTAGTAGCGTCATAAGAACGGAAAAGCGCAGGTACACACTTAAGATGTGCTCTTCCACTCTGTGGTGTGGATTGATGGATCACCTGTGGAGGTCCTCCAAGCAGTCGAGCTTTAATGTTAAAGTAGGTGTTTTTGTGGGCGGTGATAGCAGGACGCGGCTCTCTTCAGGACAATGCCGGGTGAGAGGACACAGCTGGGGAGTGCTGTGCTGTTGTGATTGATCATGAAGCAGATCAATGAGGACTTTGGTGGAAATCAGTTACCTGCCAGCTTGAGAGGAAACTGCTCTCCATCCTGAGCACGTTTTAAAGCACTTACAATAGCACAGTCTCCAAGACGGGTCCTTCTTATTATATGTTAATCTGTCATCCTACTGGTTCTTAAGTTAGAGAATTGATTTATTTGTGATGGTTGTAAAGTTGAGTGAAGTTTCAACACCTCATTCTTTGCTTAGTGACACAAAAACATATTTTGTCTACTTGACAGGTAGTAGACAGCCTTACGTCACTAAGTAACAGCCTGTGTTTTCTTTGATTAAAAAGAAAAATGGCAAAAGATGTAATTGAGAAAATATTAGCAAAAGTATGCATCTAATTTAAATGCATAATTTCTTCCTTTCTGTCACCAAATTAAAGGGACATAATCAGCTATTTTTCCCTCTTGATTTCTTAGTTCTGGACCATTTTCTTATGCATCATTTGGTGTTTCACCCTAAGTCGGCTGGGATAGGCTCCAGTCCTCCCTGCGACCTTAGTGAGGATTAAGCAGTGTATAGATAATGGATGGATGGATCATTTGGTGTTACCTACTTGGGTACAAGAAAGCAGCTTTCAGGAGCATGCAGACATAAAATCTGGGGGGAAAAAAATGTGTAAACCAATCTGATTTAGAACATTTTCTGACAATCAGCAGAAAACTGTGAGATTTATACAGAATACACAGCATACAAATGTAGATTAAGTTTGCATTTCATCAGGAAAAATGATCCACCATAAGCCGAAAGTAAATATTAACAGGAATGAGTTCACTGTTGATGTCTTTCATCATTCAGCCTGCGTGCTGAATGTAAGAAACCAGCCACTCATTTTAATTTCAGTTTAAACCGAGCACAAACTGGACATCCTCGGGGGCCGGTGTCACCGATTTGTCCCTGGATGATGCTTATTCATTATATATTGCTGGTAGTGTAACTGTATGGCTCAGTGCCCAGACTTGCAGGTAGCAGGACTACGACCCCGGTGATAGAAAGCAATTAAACCATAAGAAGCTTGTCAGTTACATGCACCATCCTCTGCATCGTTGCTTTATTTCAAATAAATCGTGATCACCCATCAGCCCAAGTGCCAGTGATTTATTAGTCGAGGTTAGGTTTGGTGAGGAATGCTTTCCCCTGGTGTTGGGGAAACAGGAAGAAGGGTGAGAATCAATATAGTGATTTTCTAATGAGCTTGGCCTGATTAGTTTGGATGGTGGATGAAAATGTGATTACCCACTGCAGGTGATAGATGTGCGGCTGACCTGTGGCGATGCACGGAGCATGGCGCCATTGATCTGTACATTGTTGGATTGACGGGCTCCAAGACAGCTGTTGTGAGGGGGAGCGGCCCGACCAACAAAGCTAAAAGAAAAGAGCTGTTAAATATTAACCCTGTTGTCTCCTTACAGGGGTCTGGCAGCTGGAGAGGACAATGGGCAGAGGGGCTACATGTTGACCTTCGTCATCGCTTACCTCCGGGTGGGTCACTCCTCTGGCTTTCTCTCTGAGCTGACGGGCAGGTGGGGCGGGCAGGGGAGGCTGCAGTTTGACAGCAGATAGGATAGTGAGCAGCAAAGAAGGACGGCAGAATAAGACCTCTGGAGGTCTTTGATTTGATCTGGTCACAGTTGTTGTCAGGGGGTCTAACACTGATGTGGGAGAGAACAGTGGCTGCAGACAGAATAACAATGGAGAGTTGACTTAGGTCAGTCCTGTTAGAGGCCTTTCTGATAATCACAAAAACATATCAACAAGCAGAGCATTTACATACACTTGAGTAACCAGGTTATTGACGGCTTTCTCTTGTGAAGACATTTTGTATTAACCCTTTCTGTGGACTGAAAAACAGCACATATCCAAAGGCTGTTGCAATACTGAATGGACACTAAACTGCATACCTCACTTTTTTTTCAATATATGTATTTATAAACAGTCACTTTATCTTTTATACATCTTTGTTTTTACATCTTTGCACATAGTTTTGTTAGTTTAAAGTTGCTATTTTGCACTAAATGGGATTGCACTCAATTTTGTTGGACTTTTTGTATAATGACATTAAAGATTGTGATTCTGTGATTCTTCCTGGTGAAAAAAGAAGTCCTAGCCATGTACGCACTTAACCAAATTTCAAATCCACTTCTTACATGCATGCATGTGCAGGAAAAAGGAAAATCGAGCTTTGACAACAGTGCAGCAGGGTGAAAGAAAGATTACACGGCAACACATATTCAAAATATTTAATCTATAGCACGAGTACAACTAAAAATAATATCATGTGTCCTTACTGTTCACAAAACATAAAGGAAGCAGCATCTTCTATCACTAGTAATGAGGCCACAAATAATAAGGCTGCCATTATTGTCATTAAAGATGAATCTGCTCTTAATTTTAGATTTTTTTTGATTACTCCATTGGTCTATAGAAAGTCAGTCAGTAGCAAAAATGCTCCCAAAGAAAATCTTAAAATGTCTTGTTTCTTCTGACATCATTGTTTTCTTAAAGAATGACTTAAACCAGTTAAATAGATGGTAATTAAGTTCCTGTTGATCAACTAATCAATTCACTAAATGTTTCCACTTTATTTCTAAAGATAAAAGTTTTCTCGGTTACTGACCTGCTCTGTTTAAATATATGTTTGACAGTAACCAGGTGACCACAGTGCACTTAAAATCATTAAGTGTGGTTCCTGATTTGTTGCTAATGTTAGCGTCGTTTTTCTTCCAGGACATGGGGATGGACTACTACGTGATCGGAGAGTCCTTTGAAACCTCTGTGCCTTGGGACAGGTACAAACATTAACACGAGCAGCAGACTTTCCTCTGAAATTTAAATATCCGTATGCATTTTTCTTTTCTCACCTCCCACACGTTCTGCCATCAGAGTCCTCTGCTTTTCTCCTGCTCCTGTTCCCCCCCTCTCTTTTCTTTTATTTCTCTTTGCCTCCGTCTTTGACATTCACCTTCATGCCTCCCTTCTCCCCCCCCTCCATTAAATGACTTTGCGTTGGTGGAAGCGTTGCCTCCTCAACCTACAAACCCACCATTACTGACACACACGTACAGAGAGGAGAGATCTATGACTGTGTTCCTCTGTGCGGGGGGAAAAAACCGTAATGTGTGTGTGGTGTGAGATTCATCTCACATCCATGTAGTGTGATCTGCATCTTCCACATGTTTTCATTATCCTGTTTTCTCACACAACAAACAGGAGCGCACGCAGCTCCTTGTTGTGTAACATGCCTGACGGGAGAGACCAAGAGATCAGGCACTGAGGCGAGCATATGCGCCTGGCTCATTACCCATCCTCCTCCCCATCCTCCACGCTCCACACACGGCTGCACATGCTTAGGACTGGCGGCCATTTCCACACCAGTGGGAATCTCTCCCACAATGGTCGTCATGTCAGTCAGTCTGTCCTCCTCCTCCTCCTCCTCCTTCCTGTCCTCTTGGCTTTTTCTAAATTTTAATAATTTCGCTAACTAATTCAAAGTACGTTCCCCGCACATCTCATTGTTACGTTTTAAATACACAAATAGTCGCGCGGACAACACAGCATGACATGACTTCTTAAATATTCCATTTTGATTTGTTTCTAGGGTGTTGGACGTTTGCAGGAATGTCAAGGCGCGCATCATTCGAGAGTGCAAAGAAAAAGGAGTTCAGTTTCCACCGTTATCCACATGCAGGTACTATTTAAAAAACAATAGCTTTAAAATACGTTCCCTGAATCTCCCAACCAAGACTGTATATTGTTTGAAAACTTTAAAAACTAGCACAGAAACTATGTCTATGTATTTCTTTTTGTCAACAAATGCCATGAAAACACCACAACAGTGTGCAGTGTGGTCTGATCTCTCTCCCCTGTCTGGAGCATTCAGTCTTAAGCGTGTTAATTGTTATTTAGGATGTAAATCTTTTAAAAACAGGACATGTAATGTGATTTTAAGTAGCTGATTAAACATGGCTTAATAGTATTTTTTTTTTTTTGTTGAGAAATAAAGTTAATTATCCTTTTGTTGGGTGCTGTTTTCAGTCATTGATACATAGCTGTTGTGCAAGCAGCATGACAGTGTGTGTGTGGTATTGACTCCAAACAAACTACAGTTTCCATATTTATGATAATAAAGCAACAGCGTGGCTCATTTATATTTTTTTTGCTAATTTTCTGACATCAATGAATCTTTGTGGCAAAAATAAGATATATCAGACTCATAAAAAGTCACCAGAGTAATTTTTTTAAACACAAACAGAGAAGAAGAATTTCCCCCAAATCAGGAAATCAAATTAATGTAAATCAAAATCTGTCTGATTGAAAAGTAACGATGCAAAGTTGTGAATCTGACCACTGATTTCCAACTTTTGGCACTTGACAGTAATCGATTCTCAATTCTCAAGAAACATTTCATGATTTTATTATTATCTTATTACATTTTTCATTAATTAGCTGCAAAATATTGAGTTTGCGTACCTAATCTGACCCCTTTTGGGTTAGGAAGCACCACGCAGACGGACGGCGTGACAGACGGACGGCGAGCTGGTTGAGGTGCACCAGGCTGCTGCTCGCAGATTGCGAACAGATTAGGCCTCAGCCTGATTATGCTACAGCCATTCATTTCCCGGCTGCAGTCTGTCACATGATTGATTTGTCCATTTAACCTCTAGAACAGTCAGTGTGCCAGGTGATGGGCCATGTCAAATGAACAAGGGCTCTGCACCCCGCTCCGCCACAGGGGGCGAGGCCACAGAGAGAACATGTAAACAGGAGAAGCGTTTTTATTCTCAACAACGTAAAAGTTATTACACACGTTAGAACGACGCTGCATTTTAATTAGAAGCGGCCACTTGCAGGGGAAAGTGTTTTTTTTTGTTCTGTGTAAAGCATCCGAGCGCCGCTTGAATCATCCTGTTACCTGCAGTGTAAGTGTGGCTCAGGTGATTCAGTAAAAGCATTTTGATGGCCATTTAATGTCTGATAATGTTGTGTTATTAAAGGTGACAGTGCTTCCACGCTGCCTCCGCTTTCTGCTAACCATGAATGGAATTGAGGTCAGAGGTTCAGCGGGGAAAGCCAAACCTCCCACTTCACTTTGTCTTCCAATTACAAAGGGGGGGGAGAAAAAAAATGCATTTATTGTATGAAAATGGAGCGCCTGGACAAAACACTACTCTTTAGGTGCATGTAAATGAGATTTTCAGAGGGACAGCTGAAGGAGAAACATTGAGGGCTTTTTTGCTGCTCGTTTAAACACGTGTCTTGTTTGTGCAGGGTGACTCAGACGTATGACGCCGGTGCCTGTGTCTACTTTTACTTCGCCTTCAACTACAGGGGACTCAGTGATCCAGTACACGTATATGAACAAGTGGAGGTAGGCCCTGCTGTACTTTCATCATCATTACAGCACAGTCCATTCCTGCCGTGGATCATCATAATTACATCTGATTTGATGATATGTTGAATCGCCAACTCTTTGTGGAGTGAATGTCAGAATATGGTATTATTTAATATGAAGTAAGCGAGTGTTTTGTTATTTTTTCCTCCAGCATACTGCTAGAGAAGAGATCCTTGCCAATGGAGGGAGCTTGTCACATCACCATGGAGGTACCAAAAGCAGAGAGTTTCACACTAAAGGCCTGTTTTCACAAAAGAAAAGCAGGTGTACATGTTTTATAAAAAAACACACTGAAATGAATCAGGTGACATTTGCACCTTTACCTAGATTCTAATTTATGAGAAGAGGTTGTGTTGCGTTTGCGCGCTGAGCTCTCCCAGCGTGCTCTTCTCTGCCGGCGAGCAGGCGGCCTGTCGTCTTGTAAATGTGCATTTGGTCAGGAATCCTTCATTGCTTCCTTCACATGTCCAAAATCTGTTCCTGCAGCTCAGACGAATGACTCTGACTCGGCTATTTGTTCATTTCACCAGTGACCAAATGAAACGTGAGCAGGGGAGGGCGGCGAAACAACTCTCTGGGCCCCATCAGGGCTAACCGAAATGGCTGCCTTATCTATATTGCCATCCGCCTCGCTGTTTTCATACATCACTTCAGGCTATTCATCACACCTGTCAAAAACAGTATGCAGTGAATCAGCTGCGATATTAAATCACAATTTTTCCTGAAGGCGGGGACGGGTTCAAAATTAAAAGATTGCTAATAAAAAGGAGGCAGTGGGCTGGGGTAAATGATGCTGCCGTTATCGCTGGCTGTATACTGACCTCCAAACGGTGGCCCGGCCACCCCGAGCAGCACGGGGAGGTGACAGGGGGGAGAGGAGGGGATATTGATGCAGCTCCCGCGTGCGAGGCCCTCTCTGTAATTGTGATTAATAACGGTGGGGCTTGCTATCTGGGCGCAGACAGGCCGGTTTGTCTGCCCACAATCAGCGCTTGACAAATGGAGCTAGTTTCACTGGGTTTTGTGTATCAAACAAAACAGATGTAGTCAAGGATGGTGAGGTGGGAGGGCACCGGAGGAAATATACATTTTTGTAGCCCTGTATTTACAGCAGGTCAGTGTTGTGCTGCGTGGGTGTAGGGAAGGGAATCTGGGCGTGTAGCGCGCTCTGCCCCCGTTCTCTGCAGGACATAATACTCAGCTTACACCACCATGTGTTGACTGCCATCCATGACAAAAATAACCGTTTTAACTTGAGAAAGGAGTCAGATTTATGACTTAAAAGCAGTGTTTTATGTTTAATTATTGACTGGTTCTGAGAGCCGGAACACTGGGAGAAATGTCCTCTTTAACTAGGTCACCAGTGTCGCAGCGGTGAAGAGTTGTTGAACATCCATCACTGGGAGAGTCATCCATCTATCAACCCTGCACCGCGGCTTCTCAGCCAATACTCCAGCTCGGCCATATCACAGAAGCGCAGGACCACTACCTTAGCCTGTCTGTCATGTCCTGACCCCCATTTGTCAGAGAAACCCGGGGAGAATGAGAGCAGCGTGTCGAGGGGTCGAGGCTCAGCTCGGCTTCTGCCTTCTCTTCTGCATTAGGGCCACTCCAGGTTTCCCAGCATCCTCCTCTAACCTTGTGGCTCCGCAGAGCTTCAATCTCACTGCTGCACCTCCACACAGGTCACTGCACCCAGGAGATAAAAAGAATGACCTGATTTAGGAAAGTTCCCCTTGTGCCATTCGCCCTGAACTTCCCCAGGCTTTTCAACACAAGAAAAATATCACCCTCTCTCTCTCTCTGTCTCTCTCGAACAAAAAAAAAAAATGTCATTTATGAAATGGCTACCTGCACTTCTTTGCATGTCTCAGCTGCACACACCAAGCCTGGTGAGATTGATTGCAATAGCAAGCAAAAAAGAGAGAATATGACAAGATAGATGTGTAAATTATCACAGTGATGGAGGCAATGATGCAGTCCCAGCACCTTCTGTTTTCTCTCCTCTTCCTGTGAGGAGGGAGGGATGGAGGTGGAACAAGGGGGAAGGAGTGAGGAGGAGGAGGTGGTGGTGGTGGTAGAGAGCATGATACTTTCTTAGTTATTGGGTAGCAGCTGATTGGTTCCTCTGTCACCATCTGGAGGTTGGTGTGGTATCAGAGTCCCTGGTGACCCTGCTGTCTGCCCCGTTGTGTCAGAAGACGGGCCTCACTAGCCTCCCGGCTGATCCCCATCTGGGTTTCCTGGCTGGGCTCTGATAACATGGCGCTGTAACGTGTCAGGGTGGCCTCCTCCCTCAACTTTCCCTGTTAACACAGTGGCTCCCAGCTACTGATGCAGAGAGAAGGGTGTGGAGGGGGGAGAGGAAGGCGTGTGAACACTCCCATCGTACACTTTCCTATTTCTAGGCCTCTATATCTAATCTCAGGTGATTACACTGGTTGGTTTCCAGTGTTTATACAGCGAGCAGCACCTGTTCCAGACCGCTCCGTTCTCAGGTCTGTCCGTTGAATTTGGGGTCGTGGTTATCAAGAGTTTCTCTTAAAGTGACTCAAAAAGTTTGCTTTGATGCACATTTAAAGTTGTTTTCTGCACTGTTACTTCAGACTGACATATATATCAGGTAATTTATTCCCCTTATTCATTCTGGTTTATATTTCTTAACAAAGGAGGCCCTTTGTGGGTTTTTTTTAACCACCAGCTGACTAGCTTTTGTTTTTAAATGATTTTTCTCCTCCAGCGGGCTGCAGGATGTCGGTGCTTTTTGTGACCTAGTAGTAAAAGATGCATACCAGCAACGTCTATAGTGCAATTCAGTCTGGCAGCTAAAGCTAAATTAGTTATTTTCATTGTCAAACCTCATCTATTATTATCTTTTTGGATCGAATTGTAAAAGATGCTTATTAGTTTCCCAGAGCTTGCGTTAAAACTCAAAAGATATTCAACTTACTCAGACAGAAAACAAAGAAAAAGATCAAAACGTAACATTTGAGGAACTGGAACTAAAGAGTTTTGCTTTTAATTGACATTTAATCAGTTATTTTCCACTGATTAAGTGACTAATTAATTAAACTCTTCCAGTCATGGTAGGATTAAGCTTGTGTTTGGATCATTATTGTGGTGATTTTTTAACCTTATGTGTACTTTATTTAGAAATATGTACCATCTCTACAACATAAACTGACACTCTAGGTGCTATCGTAGTTGATGTTATATTTTTGGTGGTTCTTCCACCTTCCCAAGTGTGTATTTAATGAAATTAACCAAAACCGACGTCTGTGTAGGACTTTGGGGGTTTTGGGGCCTCTGGGCAGTTTGCTCAGTAATACTGCTGCTGGGGATTTTTGTTGCGTGTCAGCTCCCAGCAGCATCTTCTCACATTTTTTTTGTCGGTAATAAAAGAAAAATAATAAAGAAAACTGCCAAAATATAGCAAGGCTTTGAAAGATTTAAATCCTCAGCATCTACAAACTACAGCATTGATCTGTTTTGATCTGCTGCTTTATTCACTGTCAAAAGTCTCAAATGTAAAAGCTCGCAGTTCGACTGTCTTTAAAAGAATGTGCTGAAAACAAGTTTAAAACGCGAGTTCAAATTTAAAGAAATTCAGCTTCATTAGCTCGGGTTAAAATAAAAGTTTCTGTCTTATTTGAACTTCGGGAACAAATGAGGTTTCCCAGTCCTCGGCAGTCACCAGACCTCTCGCTGGCTCCAGACTCTCCGATAAGAACCTGTCGGGTACAGGCGCCGTGGAGTATGTCGGACTGGACAGCTGGTGAAGTAATGGGCACCCTCACTAGGCTTCATGCCGAAGCCACTCTCGCTCCTCAGGTTTTGGGGGAAGAGGAGGAGGAGGAGGAGGGACGAAGAGGAGCGGCTGAATGCCAGAAGTCCTGCTGACAGAAGAGCACTGTGTGGTTGGCTTTGGCACCCTAATGGTGATCGGGCCAGTGTCGGGGGCACAGAGCGGCGTTCAGGACAACGAAGCACAACACCCTCGCAGGTCAGCTGGAGGAGCACCGCTCATGTGCACAATGAGACAGAAACACACAGTGAAAACGCCCCGGTGACTCTGGAGGGAGGGAATTGGAGGGGAGTGGTGGCTCAAAGAGTGAGGGAGCTGGGGACGGCCGGCTACAGCCGCCAGCCGGCCCCTCCTCTGGGAACACACAGAGCCTAATGAGTTTGATAGTCTGCTGAGCTCCATAAATCATGCCATGCAAAACATTTCTCCTCTCTGAATAAAAGCATTTATCACCCTCTGTTTATTCACTCACTCTCACAAGATTGATTGGCTCCCAGCAGCCTGCTGAGCAATCAGCCGTGCCGATTCCTCTATTTCTCCCCCTCGGTCGTCTTCCCCGGTTTATTTATTTATTTCTCTCCTCTGTCATTCAGTGGGGAAACTTCGGAAGGAGTGGATGAGAGAGTCCGTCTCCAATGTCGGCTTGGGGATGATCAAGTCTGTCAAGGACTACGTGGACCCAAATAACATCTTCGGCAACAGGAACCTCCTCTAATTTGCCCCGCTCCTGTCCATCTTTATCTCACCTGTTTTTTTTGTTTGTTTGTTTGTTTGTTTTCTAAAAGCATCTTGTGCATTTTGGATTAATAGATACTAAATGTGAATTTAAAATGGACAGAGAATCTTCTCCATCAAAAGTGTCATTCGGTGCCATTTAATGATTCACCCCGAACCTTTTTTTTTGTTTTTCTTTTACTTTGTATTGCACTTAATCTGCTGTAACAATCACTCACGTCGAAGCTCATTTTTACTGTCGAATCGTGGCCTCAGCCTCTCACCACGATGCTACTTGACATGATGCAACGAAACCTTGATTTTTTTTTGTGTGTGTGTTTTGTCACATTTGCTCTTGTTTAACCGCCTCCTAAACATCCTTGCCAACATAGAAACAACAATCTGTTCCTCTTGTGTTTGTGTGTGTGTGTGTGTGTGTGGCACTTCTTTAGTGGTAAGTTCTCGATGAATGCGCTTTCTAAAGCTCTGTGCCTTTCTGAAGCTTTTGTCTGCCTTCCCTTCTCCTACACTTGTGTGTACAGTGAGTCCCTTTGTGAAGCGAAACAGACTCGGACATCTTCTGCGTCTCCTGTTCGTCTTTTCATGCCCTCCTGCCTTCTGTTGTTCTGACCTATTGCCATAAGAGACAGATTTCTGGCCTGAAAACGTGTGCGTGTGTGTTTAACTAAACCCCCTTTTCTGCTCCACTAAATTTTACGCCGACCCTTAGAAGTGCAGTATGCTTACAAAGAGAGATATTCCATGTGTGTTTTTGTACTGAAAGCGTTTACCTTACACGGTTTGTTACTGAGAAAGTGAAGTGAGACGGGGGGGGGGATAAAAAAGCCATTTCGATCATGCCTGTTTCAGTGTGACTACGTTTGAGGCCTCTGGATCCCGGTGCTCACGTCGTACCAAAGACTCAATTCATCAGATCGTGCTGAAAACGCTCGTCTGATATCACAACCACCACGTTTCATCGAGTTACTCTACCAACAGCTCATTTTTTAAAAATTAGCTTATGCAAAGATAACCATGTTGAGAGTTCTCAGATGTAGATATTTGTGACTGTTACATGTGCTAAAACTTTCTATCATGTTCAGGACAGTTTGCTCTGCTACATTATTGGAAAAAACTTTCCCCCCAAATTCTTCATCTTCTTGAGTAGTTTAGGTGTATCTGTATTGTGCATAAGGTTTTTTGGAAGGGATACTTTAATGTGTTACGTTTTGATACTGGACTTGTACCATTTAGTGATTGAAGTTGAAATATCCTTTTTTTTCTTCCTTTGCTTTGCCTTTTTTCCAGGACCACTCTGTCCTTTTAATTCAAAACTACTTCCCCCCCCAAATAAAAGGACTCATTTGGGACCTGTCATCTGATATTTTCCTGCCCCATGTGTCAAAAATGTGTGAAAGCTTTTGGATGTTATGGCTGTATCTTCATTTTTTATTTTTTTTTGGTCAATTTTCCACTACTCCTAACAACATAGTAACATCTGAGTACATTTTGTCAATGCTGTTTGTGCAATAAATTGATCTAAAACATCTCACATGTGGATTTTTCTCCCTCTTTCTCATTGTTCAGACTTCTCTCTGTCTCATACATCACCTCCAATTTAGCTCATCAGTAGTAGTCTTTATTTATACTGTCAGCCGGCGCCGCTAAGGTCAACGAGAGCCCGGGAGCAGGTTTTGTGTTTGCTCTGCCTCTACCTGCAGAGAGCTCAAGGTAATCCACCACAGTGGAGTTTAACAGAGCCTGTCTTTTGCTTCCTGTCAGGCTTTTTTTTTTTGTTGTTGTTGTTCCTACTCTCACAGGCTCATTTGGGAGTCATCTTCACCCACACAGCCACCCACACACTGCCTGCTGACGTCACCGCCACCTATCAACAGCAATAGAGCTCAGCTTTGAACGCAAAAAAAAAAACCACACTGCAGCCATTGCACCGTAGTTTAATACCCGGGATCGTGTGAACGCAGATATAGATAAGGCGGAGGGATTTCAAATGTTGTTTGTGATTAATGACTGTTGCATTCGTCTTGCGTGGATCAGATTCATTCAATTGCAGCTAATTCGCATTTTTTTGTGAATATATTTGTCTGTCTTATCTCGCTAATCTGATGGGTGTCATGCAATTTCCCCTTTTTGTGATTTAAAATGTATCTCAGTGAAATGTACTTCTATCTGCAGTGTTTCATTCAGATGCAGTTGGTGTGTAAAGACGCATTTGTCCACAAGAGGTCACTACTTTACTGAACTACAGGATGAACTGGGCAGTAAAGTCAGTGATGGGAAGAATTAAGGTAAATTAGGTAAAAGTAGCACTGATGGAAAGAAAAATGGAATTTAAAAATACCGCTTTACAATTAAACAAGTAGAATCATTTAAGCATTTAATAGGAAAAGGTGTGTTTATATGCTACTTGAATGTTATTACACATGCATTAATGTGTAAGAATATTTTACTGTTTTATTGAGTAGTTCATGACAATTTATCATATAACTAGTTATGAAAGAGGGCTGCAAGGTGGATCAGTGGTTAGCACTGTTGCCTCACAGCAAGAAGGTTGGTGGTTCGTGTCCTGGTGAGGACACCCGGCTCTTTCTGTGTGGAGTTTGCATGTTCTCCCCGTGCAGCGTGGGTTCTCTCCGGGTTCTCTGGCTTCCTCCCACACAGTCCAAAAACATGTTGAGGTTAATTGGTGATTCTAAATTGTCCGTAGGTGTGACTGTGAGTGTGCTTGGTTGTCTGTCTCTAAGTGTAGCCCTGTGATAGACTGGTGACCTGTCCAGGTGTCCCCTGTCTTCACCCTAAGTCGGCTGGGATAGACTCCAGCCCCCCACAACCCTAGTGAGGATTAAACGGTGTATAGATGATGGATGGATAGTTATGAAAGACGTCAGCTGTGGTCTAGCAACATGTTGGAGCAGAATAAAAGTATAATTTAGTTTAACATGGAAATACTCGAGGTAGAAATACCTGACATTTGTACTTGAGTACAGTACTTGGGAGAAGTGACCAAAGAAGTATTCAGATTAAGTAAAGTTAGCAGCAAAATGTAGCTTGAGCATTGAGGTTAATGATATATTATTATTTATGGCATCATTAGATTCTTAATCGTGAAGCATCAGAGTACAAGCAGCATGTTGTTGTTGTAGCTGCTGCAGGTGGAGCTGGTTTGAACTACTTTATAGACAGTTTTGGAAAAAGGGGCAGCAGGTAAATGCATGTTTTGGCGTACATTTTTTGTTGGTATGGGTCTTTAACCTCTGATCTTTGGATTATGGATGATATTATGTGATTTATTTGATCTTTTTTTAAGGAAAAATCACTATTTGAAGCTGTTTTCTCCGCATAGACATCTGAAATGTGACCCCAGCAACACACTGCCTTTTGTAAGAGGTCCTAAAGGTTGAAAACCATTGTTTTAATCTTTAATGATGCCTTGTTATATTATCCGTTGTGTAAAATCTTCATCTAAAAAGTAGACAGTAGTGGTGTAGGAAGTACAATATTACAATATTTCACTGCTGAAATGTGGTGAATTGAAAGAAAAAAGTACATTAAAATGGAAATACTCAAAACTCTACTTCAGTACATTACTTGAGTAAATTCACTTCGTTACTTCCCACCGATGCTCAGGAATCAAAATGTCTCACCACAGCAGAGTTTCATGTCAGTGTAAACCAGAGCACACGTAGCAGCATATTTTTATTTAAACTCTGAACAGAAACATTGCACATTTGCCTTTTCATGCCTTAGGTTTCTTTCAGTTTAGCCCGCCGTGAATAAATCCAGAGTCCAAACTGGGAGAGGAAAGAAGAAACACAAGAAGCACGTTACATTGCAAAAAAGAGACGAGTAGGAGTCGGCCACATCTGGAGACCTAATAAAAAAATAGAACAGCGATATTCATAAGTAAATCACGTAACATGATGCAATAGAATTTAAGTCATGCATTTCCGATGAGATAAAGTGTTTACTGATGAAAATACGAGGTATTCGTTGGCTCTCTTGTTTGCTACATCCTTAGCAAGTGGTTGGACTTAATACTGCATAAAACATGCACGTCAAAAAAGTTTTCTGGTTGACTTCAGTTGAGCTCTTCAACTAAAATACAGTAGAGCACACAGATCCATGCCACACAATGTGCACAGTCACGTTTTCAACTCCAATTAACGAAGCTACAACACAATTCATAAGGCATACCCCCACCCCCACCCCCCAAAAAAACTTAATATACTAATTATAATATCAAAATAAAAGCTTGTGACTACATGGGCACTTCAGTACTACAAATTTCAGTGTCTCAGTCTTCTGGAGATTATAAAAGCTGTCATACTGTGTAGCATTTGTGAGCTTTGAGAAAAGGCCAGAGGTTAGATTAAAGCAAAAGTTTGACATTTTAGAAAATACACTTAATTGCTTCCTGATGGAAAGCAGTCAGCGGCTGGTTACCTTAGCTTCGTATGAAGGCTGGAAACAGCGAGAAGCGGCTCTCCTGACTGTCCAAAAGTAATAAAATCCACCTACTGACACCTCGAAAGTTCACTCAGAAGACTATTTTTTTCTGAAGAGACTGCAGGAAAAGTGCTGGTAGCAGGAAACAGCTCACCACCTGCAAAACGGCACGTTGTTGAGTTGACGCTTGAGCTTTAGAGAGAGCTACCAGGTCACTGTCGTCCCCTTTGGACGGAGCCAGACGAGCTGTTTCTCACTATTTCTAGTCAAGCAGTAACCAGCTGCTGACCGAGGCCTTGCATTTAACAGATAATCATGAGAGTGGCATGGATCTCCTTATAAAACTCTCCTGACGTAACAGGAAAAAACAAAAAGCATAGTTCTAACAATGTCTAACTATTGCTTTTGATATTAAACGTAACATTTTGTTTTCGGCTCCAGCTGTCAGCGTTGAATCGGTAGATGAGAGGACTTTTCCTGCAGAGATTCATGTAATATCAGAACAACTTCATCAAGGCACATTGTGTGTGTTTTTGTGTGACGAGTGAGACCCTGCATTTATAAAATTGGGCAAAATATATTTCCATATGTATATATATATATATATATATGTGTGTGTATATAATGTTTTGTAGCTAACATGGGATCAAGACATAACTGCAGTCATTGGTTTTACAAATTATGGCAAAAGTACAGCATGGTTCGACGTGGATTTCCATACTATCTAAGAACCTCAGCGAGGAGGCCATGCATTTTTCAGTAGGATCTTAAAACAAGGCACAGGAAGGGAGGGAGCGGAGAATTCAATTTGCATTGCAAGCGCTGTCACAGGTCCTGCTGTTCCTGCACCCGTTCATCCTTCAGAAACTCCACAGCCACATTACAATCCAATCCCAACCTTACAGTTTTGAAACAGCACTTGTAAATAACTCAATAGCCTATGTACAGATTTACAAAAAAATATCTCTGTTACCCCGGACAAAAAATAAAATGCGAGCAACAAGGAGGTAATGAGAGCAAAACAAACCACAGCAGAGACAAACATTCCTCTCCGATATTCTCCATGCCTTGTGCCGAAAAAAAATCTGTGCAATGCCCAGAACAGTTAGTGTTAGCTCACTGGTTGACGTGTCGACACAGTGGTTTGAGTTTTCCTTTCTGACGTGGTGTCGTCAGCTGATTTGTAGCTGCTCCAACAAGCTTGCCAAACACAGCTCCGTCGGCCTTCAGCACAGGGACACTGAAGGGAGCAGAAAAACCTGTATGATAGCGCCACACTCAAGTCTAAAGCTCATCTCGAGCAGCAAAAGCAAAGAGGAGCAGAGCCCGAGAACCTCTGCATGCACTGCACCGCCTCTGTCGCAGGCCGCATTTAAGAGGAAACAAGCCAAAGAGATCAGCTCGGATGCAGAAGCTAACTAGCGGCCTTGGACGGTGTGCCGTCGGCGTCGCCGCTGCAACAGGGCGTGCTGCCGGTTTTGGCCACGGTGCAGCCGCTGGTTTCTGTGCTGTCGCCGCTGCAGGGGCTGGCGGGCGCAGAAACACTCTGGCCACGTTGTCGCTTCCTGTTCAGTTCCTCCCATTTGGCCCTGTTGGCGTTGATCATGTCAAGCATCGGCTGAAGTTTAGGATTCAATTTGACCAGAGTCTAGAGAGACAAAGACAAAAAGGGATGAAGGAGAAAGATGAGAATAAACTCAAGTGCAATTTATGTACGACTTTTAAATGCTACAGTTTGGGGTTAAAGGGTCAAATGCAATGGGGAAAAACACTGTCAGCCTAAAGAGCAGTTCAGCGTGATTTATGAAAAATACGCAGTGTGAGATAACATGTTCAACACTATGATAACCTACGATGAATAAATAAAAACTGAAGTTTGCATATTAGCTTTACAATTCCCAGGTTTTTCCTCTGTAATAGACACACTGCTAACATAGACGCCAAAACGTTAATACAGACAATAAGTCAAAAAATAAACAGCAGCTTTAGCAAATGGAGCGAATTGCATGTAGGAAAAAAAAGTAATAGAAGTATTTGCGATGCGCAAGAATGTGCAAATGTAAGAACTGTTTGCAGGAGAATGTACAAATTTGCATATCACATTGTGTAAACCAGTGGCTCTCAAACTTTTTGAGCCACGACCCCAAAGATAACATAAGTTTGTGTTCGTGATCCCCCAATTTGAATTTTTAATATGTCATGAGTAAAACTTTGATGTTCATGCATTAAAAATTAATGTGTTAATTCCACAGATTAATGTCTTCACATTATTAACATGTTAATTTTCTTTTGAACTGAATTTATTTCAAACAAGTGAAAGGGAAAAAATATGTAAAAACAAAAGAAAATACTTTTTTAAAGAGCATCAAAAAGAGCAAAATAATAATAATAATATCGCATAATCAAATCATAATATGAACAAGTTCAAAAAAGGACTGGGAAGAAGTGTACACTTTTAATTTTGACAGCCCTAATACTAATTTATTTGATAAATGTAGGTTTTTGTTGTTTTTTTTTTTTTTTTTTACAATGATCTGGCGCCCCCCTGAAAGTAGTCCTGACCCCCAGTTTGAGACCCACTGGTGTAAACGACTTAAAGCTTTGCATTAACATTGAGTCAGTGTCTCGAGTGTCTATGGTGGAGGGAGAGAGGCAGCATTTTCACAATTTTCACAATTTCTGGATGGAATAAATTATCAGCATAGTTTATGTGTTAATCCTTTAAAAAAAAAAAAAAAAAAAAAATCTTAAACTCTATTCATAAGTGCACTGAGCTGTTTCATAACCCAAACAAAGGTGATAAAGTAAAATTACAGATCTTTTAGCTTCATTTATACGGCTACATTTACAAATTACTTATACTGGTATACTGATGCTGCTCTCAATTATGTTTTTATACAAAACAACTTCTTTAGCTACAAGTTGAGAAGCAAATAAAAAGTCATTTTTTCTTACTGTTGAGCAAAGTAAATATTTTTTCACATAGATATTTAAGACCTTTTATGGGAATTTAAAACAATCTTCTACTTGGTGGTCTTCAAAGAACACTCTTTTTTTTTCTAAAAAACTGTACGCCTTCGTTCTGTAAATGTAATGTGATGGTAATACACGAGGCTGGGGCAAGAGAAGCAGCACATTATTCATCAAACGCATTATATGAGCAAAACAAATGAAACAATGTGGAGGGAACACCCAAGTACAATAACGGCAACATACAGCCGGTTGATAGCTGCAGTCCATTAAATGGCTGCTCCTTAAAGATTAGCAGCACATGTATGACTGAGATTAGTCGCCTTTGTCATTTCTTTTGCGTTGAACTGTAAGTGGCAGTCAAAGCTGTCAGCCACCGTTTAATAAATCACCTCTGTTCTTCTAACGCCGTCCGTTGTGACTGCTGGATTTCCAGAGAAGTCGGTGTAATTACTTATTGTTTCATTAACCCTGTTTGATATGGAAATATAACATGTCTGAATGAGAAAACTTTCCCTCTACACCTATGTAGGAGACGTATGCTGAGCCTTTGTAATAACGACTTGAATAAATATGTATGCAAGTGCTGCACGCCTACACCGGGGATTGTGTATTGTATGCATTAAAAGGAAATCAAATCTTTTGTAGCACTTGGGGAAAACGCAGCTAATCACACCTACAAATTAACTGAGCTTTAAATGCAGGCGGGCAATTTAAGATGCGTTTACATTCAGAGGGTGTGTTTTGCCAAATCATATGAACAATTAAAAAAGCTCGAGTAGGCGTTGGACGCAGCTCTGTGACGTGGCCGAGTTCAGACACCGAGCCTGTTCTCTTTATTAAAAAAACAGCCACCGGCCTACTTTAGATTATGAGGAATTCATAATATATGTTGTAATATGGGGCTCAATAATTCTGAATATTGTATTCGCCGTGTGCCACTAATTATGAAGCCGTTCACCTGTGCTGCTGAGAAACATTAGAGCGCTGCATGGATTTCCATTTCCGTGATTTGAGGAAAAGTCAATGTCCGTCTCTGCAGTCAGATCGCTTCAGTTGGGCTCCTGTTTTCTGTGTTTCCGCACAGATCCAGTCTAACATGTGAGCTACATCACATGGTGAAGTAATATTTATTATGATGTAATACAGAAGTGAAACCATTGACTGATTTTAGAAAGTTTGTGTGACCATCAAATGAGCATTTCAGCAATTCTTCATGCAACATTTGTTAGTTTTAGCTTCTCAGAAGTGATGTAAATGATCATGTGTGATTGATGTTTGACTAATTTTGGACTGTTGACAACAAGACATCAACTTGGGCTTCAAGATAGGGACACCGCCTACATTCTCTGCCATTTGTTATGTTAAATTTGGGTATTTTTTAGATGCTTTCTTTCATTTTTTTTGTACTAGAACAGTCAATCGTACCCAAGAGATGCAATTCAGCAGCTCATATTTTATGTCATTCACTGTAACGTATACTTCTTTGTTTCATGTGGTGCTGATATGTTGATATTTAATGTCAGTGAGGAAGGTCTTTGACTGGTTATATGTTTCATCAATCAAACATTTAACTGATTAATCAGTGCTGTGAAATAATTGCCCATGTAGAAATGAGTATGTGTTCATCTTCTCACTGAATGTGGCCAACATCGAGCTGTAAATTTCAAAGTTCAGATGAGATTTGTGGGCTAAATAAAAAAAGGGGTTTTCTAAAGCAGAACAATTTCCCCTCTTTCTCCGCTGCCTAAACCCTCTGTGGGGCATCATCACCGGTTTGCGCGGCATCATTATTCCACTGAGGTGGATTCAGAAGAAGAGAGACTGTCATATGGTGGGGTATAAAGATGGAAGGTTATATAATGGGGGGATTAATATTCCACAAAGTAGCGAGCCACCACCAGGAGAAGGAGATCAGCGAGATCAAGAACGAGATCTCTTCCGCCCACGGACAAAAAACCCTGCCGCCTCTGAACTTCCTCTGTTCTCCCCCTTGCAAGTTTAATTGGCAGCAGCATGATCGCGAGCTCCATATCTGCATTCTCCAAACATCAGCCTTTTACACGAGCCAGCGTGGAGACAAACCCCCCACGCAGACAACACACACCGCTTTGATGCTTTTTATCTACACTACACAGACAGCAACAATGGCGAAGCCCGAGCTGGGCGAAAGATTAGCCCGCTCTAACTTTTTGGACACGGATCCTGGGATAATTCGGCGGATGTGGAGATGACCTGTAGTTTGTTTTTCTGTTCGTTATGGCCGGGAGGGATGTGTGTGTGTGCAGCAGGACGGCCAGAAGGAGAGGAGAGGTCTTGCTGGGTAGTTTAACAGCACAAAAGTGGAGGAAATCAACCAGTGCTGTATGAATGAATGATTTATTTTATCCTTGACTCCTTTCACTATTCCTCTTCTGTCTGACTTTCATGAATTTAACTCCAACACGCCTCATCTCTTAACAGACCTGATCTCCTCACTAAGTCTGCCTGCTTCTTCCTCCCACACAGCCGCCGATGCTGCCGGCGGTGGGAGGGGCAGAGGAGGCTCTGTTGATGTCATTCGGGAAACACACACACACACACACACACACAATACTTTACCAGCAAGGACACAGTATAGATTTCCTTTAATTCCCTCAAAGATAACCTCTAGCTCTAAATCTGACCCTAATATTTGCTCAGCCAGGATCCTTCAATAAGATCAGCCTCATTTTCGGTGTGTCCAAAGCAAAGCATGTGTCCATCTTTGCTAATTTCATTACAGTATAGCGAAGCCCAAAGTCCACTGTCTTACAGAGGGGGCTTCATCCCGACTTACATCACAGCTCTATTCACACTACCTCTTGAGCTTTCTCGCAGTCAGAAAGAAGTGCACACTTACTCTGCTATTCTCAAAAGAACAAGATGCAACCTTGAAGTTGTTCCAGAGCTTTCAATAAAAAAAAAAAAAAAAGCATTTCTTTCTCAGAGAGAAAGCTGCAAAGAAAGTCGAATTGTTGTCGGTGACAGTTTCATTGCTGGCGTCAGTGGGGGGGGGACAATAACGGAGGAAGGACAGCGACTACTGATGTCAGAGGCGGATGTGTGACAAGCGCCACGCAGCGAAGGCCAGAGAGCAGTTAATCTTCATGCGTTTACCTCGTACAGCGGCGCACAAATTCCATCAATCCACTCCAGCTGAAGCCCCGGCAACTCGTCCTTCCTGTTTCGGTCAAAGATGGCCTGAAACACAAAAGGCAGAATTTTTATTTACAATCTACGTTTGTGTTCACGCTGAAGAGAACCAAACGAGTCAGGCTTCCGGTGGCTAAAGTGCAGCTGTGCCCGCTTTGCTTGGAGAAAATCCTCCTTCAGCTCTCAAGACAACTGAGTTTATTTTCTATTCTCCCTCATTCTTCTGCAGCCTGAACTTAAGAGGCTCCACTGAGGCTGTGCTTCAGAGATAGTTACCGGGCTACGACTTAGAAGTTAATATTTAATTTCCAACACCCACACACAGAGCGGTAAAGGTTTGACACAAGCAGCAGACCTGAGGCTACTGAATTAGTTATTTCAGAGGGGAGGCAATGTGGCCTGGCTCGATTACTCAACAGCCATTAATTGCACGCAGAAAGCTGTTGGCTTCCCTCTTTTAAGGACTCGTAACGCAGTTCACCCTCAAGAACTCCTCCGTCAAACAGACAGCACTCTTCTGTTGGCTGTTCTGAATGAAGACAAACATCTTCATAAGGACCAAAGTCTCTCTTTGAGTTTATTGCTCTGCTATTTTTACACCTATTAGAGAAAAAAAAGTATTTTCTTGACTCTCAGCAATTCAAGGCAAGCCAAAGCGCCAACATACCAAAATAGTCTGTGTGTGTGTGGAGCTGAGAGAATAGAAAGGTCAGTGTTTGCTCTGAATCCATCGCAGAAGGGGTTTTCTTTAAGAATGACTGTCCACGCTTTGCTCTTGGCACAGCAGCGAGGCAGCGGAGCGGTCAAGCTGACCACACACTTTTGTCCACGCCGTGAGACACCAGCTCTCATGTTTCCTCAACAGTCAGTGTGTTTTAGAAAATATATCTTCGGCATCGTCAGCGCTCGGAGGTCGCGGAGGTGAGAGAAACTGCAAAAAGCACAAAACCAGAGGCTGTTTGATTTACTCACCGAGGGCGTGAGCTTCAGCTCCAATCTTTCTCTGTCGCCCTGCTCGAAGAACTCGCTCGTCACCAGCTCTGCCACCTGAAGAGGGAGAAGAGGTTTGCAGAGGGCAGCAACGTTTGTGGATATTCAGTCAGTCTCCGAGTTATCTTCTCGGGTGACAGTTTCATTGATAAAATTTGTGGATTTCAATCAGGGTAGAGCAGGAAATCCTCACAACTTTGAAGCTGTAGCAAGAAAATCTTTGGCAGTTTTGCATGAAAATGGCTTAAACGATCAACAAATCGGTTTATTCCTCTCTGCTTTTTCGAAATACATCCACAGATTTCTCTACTTATATGATTTACATGAGAGTGTTTCTGTCACCTTGCGGGATATTTCCCAGGGCTTAGTCACAGCACCGAGGTCACATGCCGTCATCATCATGGATCTGAGAAGAAGACAGATTTATATAGTGCTAATAATATTCATCATATTCAAGCTCACATACATTCCATGCCACCCACTTCCAAAGACACACACGCCACTACCTGCACATGTCTCTGTGACCCTTCACGTTCCAGTTGTACTCTCCTTTGCTGACCAGCTCGAAGAACATGTTTCTGTTCCTGAAGGGAAAACAGGGGAAATCTTTACATGCTGGTGTAAGTTGCATTAAATCCACAAGGGGGCGGTAAAACCTAAAGGAAGCCAACAAACCCACAGTAAACAGTATCCAGAGAGCTATCAGGGAGCTTGATTGTAAAAACGTGTCAGAGCTCTGGACACTGTGGACACCTCGCACAGTTTAATAAGCAGCGCGTTACATACTCAAAGTAAAGAGTGAGGTCCGTGGCCAGGATGGACTGTTTCAACAGCTGCATGAGGTCGCTGTACTCTGTGGACGAGAGGTTGGAGAAGATATTGTGACCCTGTGGAGACACATACAGAGATAACGTGATACAGGCAACATATGGGACCACAGTTCCTGCATGAATTATTGATTACATGTACCACGCAGGCTTTTGTAATACCTGTTACGTAGCTCTGTTTGGGGTAAGTAACAGGTGAAGTGAGTGCTGTTTGACATGCAGCTGACAAGATGCTGGCATGAAATCTTTTAAGACAAGTCATTACTTAAAATGTGTCGTTCGTGCATTTATTTTCAGTTAAACCAAGATAAAATACAGTCAGATTTTATTCACAAATATCTTATAGCTTCAGATAATCCAGGCTCACGGCTCCACACAAAGTTACAATAACTGATAAATAGCTCCTCTAAAGGACGACGTTACAGCACGCTCATTATTTCCATGTCAAAATAAGCACTTGAGATGTATCGCAGGGACAAAGGAGGCTATTTTCATCTTTGTTAAAGAGTTTTGTGCATACGCAGAGTAAATTATAGTCCGGATCCAGACCTCTGAACTGCTGACCACATGTAGGATTTTTTTTTTGTCAATGATTCAAAGCCAAAAAACAAATTTAAAAAAATGTAATATTAATGTAATAAAAACAATGGCAACTCAGTCAAACTGTCAAGCTTTGGAAACTAGTAATCTATTCTGAAAGGAAACTTTAAAATATGCTGTAAATTCTTCTTATCTTCATGTTGCGATTAAGTATTTTTCAGGCCAGACAAATCCAAACAACAGCGAGTCCACCATCTTGAATTCTCGCCACCATCACTTGAGAGAAGCAGTTGAGGTTAAGTTGAGCTGAGTAACTCCTGCTGCTTTAGTCACAGACATTCCTGCTGCCGCCTTCATAACACGAGGCTTCACAGAGTTGGCTCTACTTTTAGTTTACAGGCCTTTTTTCAAAGCAGACATTTTAAGTCGGACACACACGAGTGCTACTGGCAGCGTTAATGGCGGCTCTGTTCTGATCAAATATCCCAGTAAGTTATAAGAGTTTGACGGTGAACGATATCAGAGCTGTGGGCAAAATCGCTATTTATTTACGATAGCGTCCTACATTACTGTTTGGCAACTGGGTGTGAAATTTATGCTTAATATAATGCCTTCACAGATTTACTCAATGGCAAAAAAGTAGCATCAGTGGCAGGTCTGCTACTTTCTGCTTTTCCTTTTTAAAGAGTGGAAATAGCTGCTGTGAGCCGTCTGTGACAAACAAACAGCTGCGTGACGTCAGATAATTTTCTTGAAGTTATACCACTTGAATTAAAATCAGAATTCAGATTTTACAACTGACAAACTCACCAAACACACGAGTTAAAAACAAGGTCTACCTGTGAATTTGGCAATATTTACATGTAAAATGATTCCCCTGAACAGAAAGTTAGAGCTGATGTGTTAACTCTCTTTGCTGCTAGCTGTTAATCACAATCACAGAGAGAGTCTTCTTCCTGAAGGAGGCAGGGACCAAGTGGAGAATTTAGTTTGAGTCTAGAGGTTTGAGTCTACATTGACGGCTGCAAGCACAATCCTTTTTTAAATTGTCCGTCTATGGGAAAGCCATGTTTCATCCACTCAGTGGTGGGTCGTCAGGGACAGGAAGGTCTTCTCTGCTGGCCCAATCAAAATCACTGACTTACATTGGAATATTTTCCCATTATTCTTTTTACATTATTCCCAATGCTCTATTATATGTTTATATTGCAGCTTTTGTCCAATCATATTTCAGCCATCATGTGTTGCCAGGGTCACAGAAATCTTCCCTGAGGCCTTCACAATCAAAAGTGTAGGCACCTGTAGCTAAAAATGCATTGCTATGAAACTGTTGAATTAACCAATCAGATTTAGAGTTGGTGGTCCCAGGTCCAGCTAGCTGGCTTACGATGACATCAGCACTTTCACGTCCTCTGATTGGATGGTCAGAGAGCTCAGCCAAAGCTAGCGATTTGTATCTGTAACGACCTACACAAGCAAAAACTTTATCGTAAAAGTATTGCTTTTTTTAAAAGTTAACCAAGCAGACATTCTCAACCTTAAAGCGACTTAAAACTTATGCCAGAAACACCACTTTCAGCATTAGCCTCCATGGAGATAGAACAAGACTTATTGTTGGAAGTGAAACACACACATTGCCTGCTCAACTGAGTGATTGAACTCTTTATGATGAAAGAAAGGAGGATGGAGTTTGTGTTCAAATAATCACAGATTTTGGTGAGTAAAATATATTTTTTTGTCATTTTATTGGGTTGATATTGATGCTCATTCTCGCCGTCTGCAATGCAACGTCCTGCTATACTGCCTTTCTGCATAGTACTGATGGTTTCTGTAGCCGTGGCATCATAATGACGGTGCTAAGAGGTGTTTTGATTCAGGTAGGACGCCACTGAAGGCCCAGGAGTAAAATGCACAGACCGCCACTGCATCCCCTGATATAAAGACAGCCGTTCAACGCTCCATCTGTTAGAGATTTTGCTTTTCCTGCGATGACATTGTTATAATACAGCTGAACAGATCAGAGCAGTGGAGGAGGAGAGCCAGCAGCTCGCCAGCACCTCTTAATAAGTAAGCAACACATCTCACGTCATCATTAAAGCGGGCCTCCCCCACCGCCTTCAGCATGTATTATACATTCATTCACCACTTAGGCACTCTCCTCTCAAAGATGGTTTGGAAATTAGCAAAGATCTTAAAAACTGTATAACCTCCACACATATTTCCCCCTTCAAAACACAGAGAAGGCTAAAAATGGCGCCAACACTCCCTCCATCAGCTCATGGTTTCCCATGAAATATTGAACCACGTAACAGCAGAAGCACAAAGGACGTCTCTCATTCTGTCACAACTGGAGCAGAAGAAGAAGAAGAAGAAGAAGAAGAAGGAGGGAGGCGAGTCAAACAGGCGGCGAGAACGACTGGGAGGAAACGGAGAGATACAAAGGAGGCGAGCCACGTTTAAAAGTTTACACTTTTATTAATGGTTTGCCTGGCGGATTTAAATCGTGAGCCTCCTCTTCTTCTCGAATTAGGCACACTATTCATTTATATGCTAATGAAGCGAGGACGACGGTGGCGGTTCAACCCCAGTATCAACACACGCCATTATGATATTCCAAGCAAACATTTGTCAGCTTACTGTGTTGTCAGCACGGCGATAATGAAGCCACTGAAACCGACTACTGCTAAGCCTCGTCTCAGCTGCTCCCTCAAAACGCCTTCAATTACAACTTCGTGAAACCCAGTCACCTGGTAAAATGTCTCTCTCTACCAATTACCACCGAATCTATCATCTCTGTAATTACATTGATTTGAGGGCAGCAACGAGCTATTGGTTTACTCGCTCGCATGTATCAGATACCGAGGCACCACATGGCTGCCTTCAAGCGTTGTGAGCACAAACTCACTAATTTTTTCTAATGGAAACTGGCCTTTAGCAGTTTGGTTTTTTTGTTTTAGTATTTTAGATGGCTTAAAAATAAAGTGAGAGATACAGTAAGAAGTGTACTCGTTTTGCCTCGTCAAGAGTGTAGTCATGGTACAATGGTCACATGACTTTAAAGGAATACTTTGGGGAAATGTGCTTATTTGCTTTCTTGCTGACATTTAGATGTGAAGATCAATAGCACTCTCACTGGAAACACTACGACACAGATTGTCTGTCTTTGTGCGGATATTTTTAGTGATTCAGTTCCACCCTTGTGATGATGACAAGATAGCAGGAAAGCACTTCAAGAAATGGTGCAATCCCCCCTTTTCTCAAGCACTTTTTGTGTTACCTTTGAACAAAAAACTAGTTGTTTGTTTCCAGTCTTCGTGCTAAGCTAAGCTAAGCGACGTGTCTATCAAATTTTTTGTTTTTCTTGCAGATGCTTGGAGCACTTTAGAGGTGCAGCTGAGATGCTTTATTATGGCATATCCGCTCAAGTAATATGTTGGAAGCACCTAATTTTGAAGGTGGTTTGTGCAACCAAGAGTTACTGAAAGTGAACATGTTGAGTAGAGGACTTGCTCTGGATAACTGTGAAGATGGACTTATCCAGATGTTGTGAATGAGGAAACATCTCACTGACTACTATAGTTCAAGAGCTCAGGTTGGTCTGTGTTGTATTTGTTGAACAAATTTGAACTTATTTCAGTTCTACGCAAACAAAACAGAAAACTAAGCATGCACCACTTAGTGCGGTTAACGGTTAATCGATTAGTTGTTTAGTTGTCAGCTGTTCAGTTAATCTGATGATTGATTAGTAAGTTTGAATTTTTTTTTTTTTAAGAACAAAAGGTCTCTAGGGCTGCAGGGTGGCACAGTTGGTAGCACTGTTGCCTCGCAGCAAGAAGGTTGCCGGTTCGCGTCCCGGTGGGGGCACCGGAATCTTTCTGCGTGGAGTTTGCATGTTCTCCCCGTGCAGCGTGGGTTCTCTCCGGGTTCTCCGGCTTCCTCCCACAAGGTCCAAAAACATGTAGAGGTTAATTGGTGATTCTAAATTGTCCGTAGGTGTGAATGTGTGTGTGCTTGGTTGTCTGTCTCTAAGTGTAGCCCTGTGATAGACTGGTGACCTGTCCAGGGTGTCCCCTGCCTTCGCCCTAAGTTGGCTGGGATAGGCTCCAGCTCCCCCATGACCCTAGTGAGGATTAAGCGGTGTATAGATAATGGATGGATGGAAAAGGTCTCTGATTCCACCTTCTTAAATTTTACTATTTTCTGGATTCTTTCTTTCTGTATGACAGTAGCCTGAATATCTTTGGCTGTGGATAAAACCAGACATTCAAGCGCTTTGCAAACCACTGATGGACATTTCTCACTATTTTCCGCCTAAACAACCGATCGATTCATTGCAACAGATTCAGTGACGTTGAAGGTAATCGTTAGTTCCAGCCCTACTCAGCACCTTGTGTTGCTGCTGGTGTTTGAAGCATAGAGTAAATATGTGGTGCTCTCACTGTAAACAACTGGAAACATTTGCTTGTTTCAGGATGACGTGTTAACTGTCTGCTGGGTGCAACTTTGTAATGAGAGTACAAACATGAGAGCGGTTTCAGGTTCACTACGGCAAGGAAACATGCGGCTGCCTTTTCCAATCTGTCAAACTATTCCTTTAAGTTAATTTAAAGACTAATAGGGAGTTTTTTTCGTAGCAGACGTTTTCGTACGTTACAGCAGGGAAAGCACAGATGTTACTAAAGTGACTGCATTGCATTTAGGCGAGCTGCTTCCAGGTGCCTGCTACTGTGCATGCTGCATCAGTACGTGTCATGGGACACGCGAGGCATCGATAACGAAATTAGTTTCACACGTGCTTTTGCTGCTATGACATTCACAATGTCTGCTGTGGAAGAGATCTATATCATGGAGAGTGTTTGCAGACTGCCAGTGCTGTGAACACTTACATGAATTTAATGCACATTTAGTTGCGAATTTTTATGTACATTCGGTTGAAGCTTGTGCAGTCCTGTACAACAGTCCAGCAATTCATGAACCTTCAGAAAAGCTCTAATGTTGAGATTTTGCTGGGAAAAAAAGTCCTTTTGGAGGCTGTACTGTATTTCTGAGAGGTGTTTCTGCTATTTTGTCCATACCATGAATATCATTGAGAGCAGGATAAATAACACAAATCCTTCTCTGCATAATGTTGCTCTTGTATCAGACCGCATTAGTTTCAACTAGTCCTACCTATATATGCACGAGGTAGCTGCATTTGCATCTTTTGGTCATTTATTCATAAAAAAGGAAGCTCAGTTGTAAAATCAATGATAAAAAACTTACGAGACACAGCAGAGAAAACACCATAAACTTTAAAAAATATGACGTCTCTCCAAGAGGAAGGAGTATTAAAGGTTTGAGAACTTGGTTGTAAATAGCGCTGGAAATCCCTTAATATGAAACATATTGCACAAATACAACATTCGGCGGTAGGCATTAGCAGAACACTGTATGGTAACTGCATTGCAGCAGATATTAAGACATAGCGCACCTCGCTCTGCAGGATCATAACAGCGTGGTTGAAGTGGTGGTGCTCCAGTGTAGCAGAGGTCCCATAAAGAAGAGCAAGAGCTGAACCCGTCCTGCAACACACACACACACACACACACACACACACACACAAAGAAGGATAATATAATCAGGATTCAACACGTGCTGAGAAACAAAGTCTGCTCTTGCCTGTGTTGCGATTCCCTCAGCAGTTCCCTCTACACTCCGTCGCTGCCTTATGGCTCAATAATAGGAGACGCTTGAGAGTCATAAGCTGAACTGTGGCTGAAACTGAAATGTTTAACATTTAATACGCTCATCATTCAATGTATATAAAAATACTTATTAAAGGTGACTGTCTTTTACTAAAGGCAGGTCTAGGCTCTTTATTAGGGTATATTCCATTGAAATATTTGAAGTCTATCTGTTATTTCTACAGTAAAAATCAACTCACGTGCAGGTTTTAGTGTTGACGATTTATCTGGGTTTTACAAATATTCCTTTTTAGCTTGTATCTTACATAGTTTCCATTGTAACTTTAGTATTACTAGTATTTACTAATATGCACACTGGATATGAACTGCAGCATGGATCATGAAGTGTTGACGTGTAGCTTTAGAGGGGTATTGAGACTGCGCACACAGCCATACTGGGTGAACAGGATTTGTTACCATTTCCATGCAAAGCCTCACAATATTTAGACAATCAATCAACAGTGTGGATTGTCCAACTCAGTCACATGACCTCAGTCCCTCTGAACACGCTCACTACTTGCTAAAAACAATCAAGACATGAAGATGTCTGCTGGTCTGCTGATGTCTTTGAGTCGCAGGTAGTCCCCGGTAATGAATTCATTTATTTAGGCTCATGTTTACGTGGCTTTTGAATATGGTGGGCCTTTACAGAAAACTATAGAAGTCCTTTGTTGGGGGACTAAACACCCTTAAATAAAATTATGATGTTTATTCTTTAAATTCAAAATCCAATGCGCTAGAGTAAATGCCAAAACAACAAAATTAGTGCTCATTCTTTCTTTCTGCAACTTTTATTGGAGAGGGAGCGATATTACGACATGACAGGATCTCATATAAAAAGTGTTTTGTATGTGTGATGGTTTTTACCCAATACAGTCAAAGTTACAGGCTATAAAGGGGAAACAGCCACTGGTAGAGATGTAGCACACTGCCACAGCCAATAAATGAAATGAAGGAGTCTCTACTTTTTTGTTCATGTGTGAATTGAGAAAATCTGCTCCTTCCCCTTTGTCATTCTAAACCAACTGGGCCAATGTAACAGTCATTCAGATTTCCAGACCATTAGGCCCCAAATAATGAACATAAACTGAAACAAACACAAAACAACAATGATTGAACTTGCAGTACTTGGATTTCAAGAGCTCCACAGCTGCTCATGAAGACCAAACATGTCAGTCAGCTGCGATGGAACCATCTCAATAAAAAACGTTTAAAGGGGCCAGAATCATTTCAGACTCACACAAAAAGCTAATTAACATGTTCCCCTAATTTGCATGATGTTTTTCTCGTTAAGTTTTTTTAATTCAGCTCACAATGATGTCTTTTTTTCCAATCTTCATTTTCAGATTCATGTTACTATAAAAACCTTGGCGAGGACGGGAAAACACTGCCTTCAAGTAATTTAATAGTAACTTTACCCAGTGAACTAAACGCGCTCCGAGTCAGCAATGTTTACAGTCTCTTCGTTAAGCAGACTCTTATATAAGCCTTAAACAACTTCCCACTTGACTCTTGCTGATCTGGGCTGGACTGCTGCAGACTGCTGCAGATGGGAAAAAAAAACACACTATAAACAGTGTGGAGGAGGCGGCGTTGATGTGTGCGTTTGGCAGCGGCGGAAAGAGAACGCGGGAGAACACTTACTTTGCCTGAAAAGCGTTGTTGGTGCCCCTGTGGTCCAAGTCGTGGCACACGCAACCTACAATGAGCGCTAAGATCTCCACCTCTGTCAGAGTCTCCTGGAAACCCGCCGTCTGATTGGCACAGAGGAGAGGAGGCAAATGAGAATACATACACAATATACGAGCACGGGCGCTGCAGCTCTTATTATTCTGTGAAGCTGCAAGGAGTACATTGAATAAAAATGGAAAAACACTCCAGCAGCAGCATCCTAAAAGAAAAAAAAAAAACTGTATCTTCCTGAAATGCCAGTGGGACCGCAGGAACACAGCCACACAGCGAGATTTATGGCTTGGATGAATGGGTTCTGGAGGCCATGTGCTGAGTGAGTCACTATAGGTCATTGTGGGGATAGCAGCAAAGATAGCAGGGCCCTCAGCCCACTCATTAAAACACATGGCAGAAGAGTGGAGGGGCCCAGAACAGCTTACACACTACTATTTCATTTCCCTCTGCCAATAATCAATTCAGATGGGACACCACGCATTAATGCTGCGCTTGATTAAATGAACTACACCGGGGTGTTTGTGTAAGAGCTTGTGCGCCTGTCAGTGTGTGAATGTGTGTGAGAGTGTGTTGCCCCCCCCAAGGACCTGATAAAGTAAAGGCCTGCTGGAGCCGCATGAAGCCGTTCTCTTGGGGAGGGTCTCTGTACAAACAAACATCTCCGCGCAGAACTGCTTGTTTGTACAGTTTCGTAAAACAATGAGTCGCGATTTACATCTCAGCGATTTCAACAAAGTGAGCTGTTGTATCTAAGTGAAATGCACCAGAAATGGACTAATCTGAAGATCACTGGCTGCCCAGTCGACCAATAACATTCAGTCACGTTTATGCAGGTGTACAGCAACCTGAGACCACCTCTCACTTTTACTCTGATCTCCTCACATCAGCTCCATTTGCTGTAGCTCCAGGGACGGAACAAATATCACTAATATTTATTTTACAGGCAAACGAAAAAGTGCAAAAGTCCTTCGTGCAAAAGAAGCATCATGAGCTTCATGGTTACAAGTAAAGGCATCGGTTCTGCTGCTGGTTGCTACTGATGATGCATCAGTGCATAAGCTGCACAAAAAGCTTTCCTGACATCTTTGCTTTTTGTTACACTTGAGAAGTTTAGAGGAGGAATCCCTTGTTAAACGTGACAACGGGCCCCAAATAGATGCTGCTTTTATGTGAAGAGTCCAAAGGGCTGGGGATCACCGGTGTGATCCATAACAGTGTGTTTTATTGTGCAATATTTCCAAAGTGCAGTGTTCTAGAAATAGGGTAACAGTGCTTCTATACTGTACTAATGCACGGTTGTAAAGCACTCAGCTCCACCAGCGCCAGCCTCCTCCTCTTGTTCTTTTGGTTTTGTTCACTTAACCCTCTAAAGCCCAAAACCCACTGGCAGGTTAACAGGACTGTTATCTTAAAAATACAAAGCAAAAAAAACCCCAAAGAATTGTCGGATTTTCAATTTTCCTTGAAGTGATCCTGTGTCTCATGCAGTTCCATCAGGAAGGTGATGTAAATGTAAGTTGAAAAATATGATGTTTCATCCAGATTACATTTAGTGTCTTGTCTATCCCAGACATCCACAAAACTTACTAATTAAATGATCCTGAAGGAACGCTCTCTCATCTTACCTGTACTACTGTGCATGTACAGCAAATTACAATAAACTTGATTTGATTTGAAATTACTTTATTCTATATGTGTTGTTTGAAAAATAGCCAAAAATAAACAGTTTGCTCTCATTAGATTCTATAAGAAACAAAAAACGTGTACTCCTCGGTTTAACCATGAAGCTATATCTGACTTAGTTGCGACTAACAGTCACATGACAAATATTCAGGGACTTTTTAGCTAAACTGGGCTGAACTCCAGACTGGAAACAAATAAAAAATGTAAGTAACTCAAAGTTTATGCTATGTAGAGTTAGCTTTTTTCAAGTTTTGTACAATTAAATTAAAATATTTCAACTTTTTTGATTGTTTTTTATAATCTGTGGCATTAAACTTTGTTTTACTTCAGAAAACACATGTTATGAGTTCTCTCTACTTCTAGCCATGGCTGTTCAAGACTTTATATTACAATAAAAATGTGACAGGAGAAAAAATTAACTGCTTTGGGTTCATAGAGTTCACTAAACTTTAATGCTTATGTAGTGTGTGTGTTTATTTGGAGGGAAGAATCGGTTTTGCTGCTTACATCAGTGGAGCTTCCTCATAGAAAGCTTTTTCTGACAACTAATTGTACTGCTGTTAATGATCAATGCTTTAATGTGGCTTGTTGACATCCAGTGATTCACAGTCGTCTTGATGTTTACCGTCAGCATGGCGAACATGCACTGGCAGACGTTGAACGCGTGTCTCCAGTTGTGGTAGAGGACCATTCTGTAGTTTTTCCTGACAGTCAGCAGCCATCTGCACAGTGTCTGGAGGGGAAGACAGGCAGAGGGATGAGCACATGGGTCAGCAGTCGTCATGAGCAAACTCAATCAAGTATATGAAGCAAAGGGGAGAGAGTGGAGGAGGGGGACGTCAGTGGCCTCACCTCGTAGTCGATCTTAAATTTCTGCACCATTCCCAGCTCCATAAACATTCTCAGGGCGGCCGTGATCATGGCGTCAACATCCAGGGAGAAATCATCAAAGGAGAGCTTATCGATGCCCAGCTCGCAGACCAGGGGAATGTTAGCCGCCTGTTTCATCATGGCGGGAAGAAAAACACAGAGGAGAGTGTGAAGAAGAAGAAGATGGAGAGGTCAGGGGATGCCGTGCCGTTTTCAGATGATATATGGAAATATGAAGACATGCTAATTAAGACTCTGAGGCCTCATTTGGCGAGGGTTAAGATTAATGAGGAGGGCTTTACTGAAGGTTTCTACTGTTGTTTACTTTCAGAGCTCATTGACAAATGTGGTTGCGCAATAGTAATCATCATCATTTTGATTTTTTCTCCCGGCATTGTTATTCAAACAAAAACATAAACACAAAACACATGCGAGCTTCCAATTAGCCGTATTCACACTGAGGCATGTCTTCTATCTTTAATGTGGCCTAATGAGCAGGATCCTGCCTCTAATCAGCGTTTATAATGTGACCACTTCAAGCTTTCTAACCTGCATCTTGTGCCAGCGACTCAAAAGCCCTTCTACAAATCTGGGTTACAGTTTCAGAGCGTCCCCTGTCTCTCCGCTCTAACGTTTGCCCGTCAGGTCAGCAGGTATCCTCCTTTTCCTAATTCACAGCCGCGGGGTTACGAGATGTCAGCCGGGTTTGTTTGTCACTGCACTCCAGTGGAATCCCAGGCAAGTGTACTCAATAAGGCTCCGTATGTGGAGCAGTTACGAAAGAAAGTAGGGGGGAGTGGGGTGGGTGGGGGGGGGAGAAAAAGGCAGGAGGCAGAGTGCGGTGCTGGATGAGGGGGCTGAAAGATCACACAAGCACACCAGAGCGGGGATCCTACAATGCGGTAATGGCCACGGGGGAATATCCAACACATGAAAGTGCAGGAAAATAGGTCATATCTATATTTCAGAAATGTCATGCCAATTAAAAATGTAGATATTTTAAATTTTTTTCCCCATCTTTATAAATAATGCATTGAGAATGATTGCTTATTGATTGGAGTAATCCATTTCAAATGCCACAATTAGTTTATTGTCACGGGGGAATTCTCGGCCCATATTTACGCCGCAGTTGTTTGGAGAAACTTCAAAATGAAGTCGAGGAGACAGACTGCCAATAATGCCTCTCTGTTGCCATAGATTTTTTTTTTCTTTCTTTCCCATTAAAGTTAATAAGAAATTGTTATTTAATTAGAAAAAAAAAATGTCTTAATTAAAGGGGAAACCAAACAAACCAAATGCGTTATGAGTTAAGTATCAAGAATTTTTTTTTTTTCCCTCTTGTAAAGTTAAATTTTAAGCATCACAGAAAGTTTAGTTGGTGAAATATTCGGGCTGAGCAGCAACAAAACGCACCTTTAATGTTTCCTTTAATATGTCCTAATTGAACCAGCATTAAGACATTACATCGAGGAGAATGCTGAAATGATGTTTTTGCACATGATCTGCACCACCAGAGCAGACGTGAAAATCAAAAAACTGCAATCCACACCAAAAAAACCACAAAGTACAGGAGAGAAAACGATCACGAAGAACCAAAACCGACTCTTTATTGTTGTGTAAAGTCAGAAAATTCACTATTACTTATTTCACTGCTTATGATTTAAGTCTTTAAAAGCGGGTACAACGGTTTCACTTGTTTTCTTTGTTCATGTATTTTCTCAGAAGGCCTCAGACAGGAGCAGATAGACTATTAGCTCAAGAAAAACAAAAATAAACACACGACAGAAGTTAGTGGCAGCTTTTCTCCCTTCACACCGACTGGTTCTGCTGTGGTTAGAATCGGTCCGGCTAAACTGAAACTGCACCTGATGTGTTGAAACAAGCTCAGGGTCAAATAATCTGCGCCTCCTGTAAACTGAGGGCAGGTGTGTCTCTGAGTGTTGTCTCATGCTGTTGTACAAAATAGTCAATATCTGTGAATGATTTCACTGCAACATGTGCACAATTATGGTGGTTGTCATTATTTACTGATGATGCTCTGGTGACTACATTCACTTGCATCATTAACCTCTTAAGACCCAAGCTCTTGTTTGATATGCATTTTCTATTTCTCTCTGGGTTCTCCAGCTTCCTCCCACAAGGTCCAGAAACATGTTGAGGTTAACTGGTGATTCTAAATTGTCTGTAGGTGTGAATGTGAGTGTGCTTGGTTGTCTGTCTCTAAGTGTGGCCCTGTGATAGACTGGTGACCTGTCCAGGTGTCCCCTGCCTTCACCCTGAGTCAGCTGGGATAGACTCCAGCCCCCCGTGACCCTAGTGAGGATTAAGCTGCGTATAGATAATGGATGAATGGATGGATGGATGTTAAGACCTGTGGGCACATATTTTACATTCCAGCTTTTCAGATTTTTGTAAAATAAATATTTGAATAATTTAACTTTATTTTTTGTCTTTTTCTATGATCCAAGGCGACTAAAGACAGTTTTAAGTTATTTCTACTTCTAGTCGTGGTTGTGCTGTTTACATAGATTTATATTGCAGTGAAAAATGATAAAACACCCAGAAAGTGCTTGGAGTTTAGAGGATTAGGTGATCATGGGAGTTTGACGGCAGGTTTCAATCCAGCCTAAATCTCAATCATCGACATTGTCATGGCATTTGTTCAGAATAAGAACAATACTGAATTTTGTCCTGTGAACACTGCTGTTACAGGATGAAGCATTAGAAACCAGCAATATGTTGTGTTGTAACTTTATTATCTGTGTTGAGTTCAAATCACGTCAATCACGAGTGAGCCAGAGGGATGATTTGACCAAAGGGTCATTAGTTCCTTAAGTCTGACTTTAAATGTGTATTTTACAGTAATTCATCCACATATTATTTATATTTTTTTATAGCCTTGGTGGGTGAGGAATCATATATGATAACTGCTTTGAGTTTGATTTGCAGCTTAAATCTAAAACTTTTTTAAAAAGTCAAAAAGGAAAAAAAAGGGCTCTTATATCCACCAATAACCGTCCAGGGTGGAAGTTTTAAAGTATTTCAATGAGTGCCCTATAAAGGGTTAAAAGCCTCCCACTACTAATGAACAAAGAAATGGGTTTTACTGAGTTAAATGTAATGAAAACAACAGGAAATATCTGTTACCTTGAATTTGTCAACTTCAGTCTTGGAGCAAGTGGCATGGTAAGAAAGAACCTGTGAAAATAATGACACAGTGTCACTCGCTGCATTTGTCAGATCTTAAAACTAACCAGAAGGGCTCCAAGAGCAACTGTGGCCACGGCGGGAAATACTGCACGTCGGTATCAGTGCATTTTAGCGTTTCTTCCAGATGAGGAAGTTAACACTCGCCTCTGGAACAGTCTACAAGAGCGGCCATGTCAGCCCCGATTCCGTCGCCGTGTTCCCCTCATTCCCTCAGAGAAATACCTTGCACAGACCTGCAGTTGCTTATTTGATCATAAACGCTCATGTTTATTCAGCGCCGCCAGCAGCAGTGCATCTACATATTAGTTCCTTCTGTGTCTCTCGTTTAAATGCTCGATCTGTCTCTATCTGTTCTCCGCTTCTCCTATTCTGAAACAGTAATGCTAACTACTATAATTCACCTGAAAGCTCCCCATTGTAATCTAAGGACGTACTGTAAAGGCTGACTCGTGCTGAATGGCTACATACTGCAGGGCAGATGAGGGATTGCTTTTCACTGCCTCTCATTAATTTTCAATAAAACCTTTGTGAGAAGGTTATCTACAAAGAGAGATCAGCACTTTTTGCATGCGTACGTTCTTGTGGAAATATGAGACTAAAAAAAAAAAAAAGAGCCAAGTACAAAAAAGACCCCTGAGAGAGAATAAGTGGGAAGAGGCTTTCTATTTTCTATGTAGCAGCTGTTGTTTCCTGTGACTTCTGGGTAAATGTGTCACCCCTGAGCATATGTTGACTAGAAGGGAAAGCAAAGATATGATTATAGCGAACAGAGCAGAGGAATAAATAGGAGTAGACATACTAGTTAAAATCATCTGAGGGAGCGCGTAAAGCTAATGTAAACACAATGAGCGCCTGGGCATGACAAACAGCAGCACAGAATCAACTCAAGTCAACGCTCCGGAGCAGTTTGCACAGGGATGTTTTCGCAAATGTAAGCAGACGTTGTTCAGGACGCGTAAGAAAATGGCGTGTTTTCATTTTCAAACAGGCAGGAAATCAAATGTCTGGTTCTTACATCTAAAGCCACAGACTGCTTGGCCCAAGACTTCTTCACCTGGTCGTACATGATGGTGTTGTTGATGCCCAGTCCGCAAAAGATCACAAACGCCTGAGAAAAAAGGATGAAATGCACAAAACACTCAGATCCAGCAGTTCCCAAAATGCCAACAAGATATGTAACCCTGTTCAGGACTTTCATGTTGCCATACGTAGACGGTCTTCTGGGGTCCATCGGACCTCAAGAAAGAATCTGTGCAAAATATTTGTTGGTATCCGTTATAGACTTTTGTACTATGTTAAATAAATGTTCTGATAAGTTGATTTTTGGTTCCAAATGCATGACAAATGACCCTCTTTTCATATTAAAATAAATAAATAAATCTTCAAAAAAACAAAAACAATACCTGTCATCTAAACCAAATGGCCTGGGGTCCAAAAGCCCCCAAAAGTCCTGAACAGGGTTAATGTAGAAAACCCACAGAAGCGGGTGTAATACCTCAAAGAGACGCTGGTCCGCATCGTCGAACGGTTTCCCATCGAGCCTGTTCAGCACTTGGGCGACACCTGCAACACAAAATCCATAAATTAGTACAATTAAAACGCAGCAGTGCAGCTCTCTAATGTTTGAATGTGGCTTAAGAGGATTAAACCTGCACATTACATATTATTGACTAAAGTGCATTATTTTCTCACAGGTTTAGAAATTTTCTGATGCTGCTGCGAACTCTGTTGTGTCAAAGTATGAAAAATCTTAGCAGTCTTAATGAAACGCTGTATTTATTCTAATGAGACATGCTTGTACAAAATGACAAACTCAATCACTGCTATCTAAAAAATCCAGTTATTGTCCTCAATGCTTTGACTGAAACCTTTTTACCTGACAGCTGTTTCGATGGATCCACTCGTCATCTAATTAGAAAAGGCTTCGACAATAAAGCGTAAACATTTAATTGATAGAGAGTGACTTTTATTGTCATGGAGGAATTAAGCTAAAAAGCAATTACACAACACATTAACATATTCATTTATCTATAGGAGGTCAAGCAAACCTGCCACGGTGACATTTCAATTTCAACGTATAGCTGGAAACGGATTAGCGTCGCGGCTAGGAACAATTTTCATTACGGTGAAATTTAAAGCACCACGGCTGATGTTTTTTGAATCTACAATTGCTTCTTTCGTAATGAGCTAATTTGCAGCATAGGTGGCCCCAAGCATGTGCAAACTAAACGGCTGCTCAGAGCCCCAAATAATCTTTAACTACACCACTTTCCAAAACCATAACATCCCAGTAATGTTTCTACACAGATGGCCCACAGTGTTGTGTGACTGCACGGTGGTGGAGGTGGTGTCAGATTTTTGCTGAGGGCTTCACAAAGCCTCGGGTCAGGCCTGAGCAGCAACCAGCTCAGCACCACGTTAACCTACGAGGAATTACATCAAACTGAAGTGAAATCATCCCCCAAAGCTAGAATCTCCTCCGTCTGTAAGAGGCACGACTGGCTTAAGACAGCAATGTGGACGCTGTGGAGTGGCAGCTCGCCACCTGATTGGGAATTTGCAGCTATAAGAAACAGTTTGTAAGAAATCTGACAGAGCTGGAGCATTTTCATAAAGAAGAATATCAAGAAGCACAGCGCTGAATGGAGTTGGTAGCACTGTTGCCTCGCAGCAAGAAGGTCGCCGGTTCGCGCCCCGGTGGGGGCACCGGAATCTTTCTGCGTGGAGTTTGCATGTTCTCCCCGTGCAGTGTGGGTTCTCTCTGGGTTCTCCGGCTTCCTCCCACAAGGTCCAAAAACATGTTGAGGTTAATTAGTGATTCTAAATTGTCCGTAGGTGTGAATGTGAGTGTGCTTGGTTGTCTGTCTCTAAGTGTAGCCCTGTGATAGACTGGTGACCTGTCCAGGGTGTCCCCTGCCTTCACCCTGAGTCAGCTGGGATAGACTCCAGCCCCCCCACGATCCTAGTGATTAAATGGTGTATAGATGATGGATGTATGGATGGATGGTTATGATGATGTCAATTGTGGTATAGCAACATGTTAGAGCAGAATAAAAGTATAATTTAGTTGAACATGGAAATACTCGAGGTAGAAATACCTGACATTTGTACTTGAGTTCAGCACTTGGGAGAAGGGACCAAAGAAGTGTTCAGATTAAGTAAAGTTAGCAGCAAAATGCAGCTTGAGCCCCCCCGCGACCCTCGTGAGGATTAATCGGTGTATAGATAATGGATGGATGGATGGATGGATGGATGGACAGCTCTGAATGGGACCAAATAACACAGACTCCAAATAGTGAATACGGATGCAAACGTGTATTTCATGTTTCATTTTTGTCATTCATTTTAATCCCTGCCAACAAAAATGAATAAAATTCTACTTTTTTTCAACAATGAATGGATCAAAACATCAAAAAATAGATTCATAAGCGAGAGGTGAGAAGGCTGAATCCTGACTCCACACACTACAAAATCTAACAAACAGAAATCTGTTTCTACAACTGTGGATATAATTGTGTTTTAGTCGAACGTCTCTGGCTTGAGGGTGTTCGCCGACATTCTGTTTTGCTTGTTAGGAACTTTCTCGGATGTGATGCTAATTCGTGGACTTTTTTTTTTTTTTCAGCAATTCAGGGAGAATCAAAAGCAACTCTGATTATCTGGCTTGTATCATTTTATCATGATGTTCTTGTTAACTGAGCGGATGTTCATTAAATTTGACAAATAAATCATCACTACCTTTTTATTAAAGTGAATAATAACGACACACGGCTGCATAATGCGCTAATATTTATTTTATTCACACCTGATGTTTGACTTTAAACCTCACACGTATTGTTATAGTCACAACAGTGTTTCTGGAGGTTGCGTTTTGAATGAGCCGGCTGTAACCTTAGCAGATGACACAAAGACATTCATTCTCTAACTGAATGTATCCTTGACTTGAGAATTTCATCTCCTGCTGCTTTGTTTGTATAATGGTTTTTCACTCCAGATCCTCAGGTGCCACCCACACACTGCATTTCTTTCTCCCCTCACTCTTCCTGTTCTTCTTCCTCTCCCCTCTCCCCTCCCCGACAAATGCACTTACACCTACGCAAAGACGCACACAGGTCTTAACCAACCATCTGCAGCAGATATGCTGATCACTTTGCACTCGAATAAAACTAATGGCTTCCTGCGTCAGATCTCGGCGGACCGAGCGGAGCAGCTATCATTGCTCCTCCCTGCAATATCCAGCACCAAAACCCAGACGAGAGATCAATGATTTATCAGAGTGTCAGTGTGGTGCTAGCCCGGGGCTGATTCACAAACACAAAGCACACTGCCAGAAGAAGGGAACTCCACCTCCAAGTGTGGACTGATGGTGCAGCGTGGATCTAATCGCACACATGCAGTCTCAGCTGAACGCGCGCTCAAGCTGCCCCGTTATCTGCTTCATGCAGCAAAACGCTGGTGCTGTGTGGTGCTCTCGTTAAAAGCATAACTGCATCATAAATACAACACGTAGTCGAAAGTATGTGGATTTTGATGGTTATACCTATTAGTTCCAGTTAAAGAATAGAATAGAATAGAATAGAAAAATATTTTATTTATCCCAGTCTGGGAAATTACTGAAAGTAATAAAGTAGTATAAATGCCACATCCTTACATGTTAAATAGTATTTTAGACCAACTTGACTCAAGCCAGATCATATCATCCACCACTTTTGGAATAACTGCAAGATAAACCTGAATGTCTAACTGTGAACATCTTTACTCGAACTCTTGTAACTGAATGGGAAGAAATCTCTGCTGCCAGGTTTACAAATCCTGCAGAAAGCCAATCCAGAATGTGCCAATTCGGAATCTGCTATAGCATTATCTTAATATTGGTTTTTGAAGCGTGCAACCATCGAGGCCTCATGCGTCCACATACTATCTTACTCTTCTCTAACACACTTTTATGAGCTTATGCAATGCTTTAAAAAATGATAAATCCAGTTTAAAAAATCAAGCATACGTGCACATAAGGAGTTTGCATGTTCTCCCTGTGCAGCGTGGCTTCTCTCCAGGTTCTCCGGCTTCTTCCCACAAGGTCCAAAAACATGTTGAGGTTAATTGGTGATTCTAAATTGTCCGTAGGTGTGGATGTGAGTGTGCTTGGTTGTCTGTCTCTAAGTGTAGCCCTGTGATAGACTGGTGACCTGTCCAGAGTGTCTCCTGTCTTCGCCCTAAGTCGGCTGGGATACGCTCCAGCCCCCTGCAACCCTAGTGAGGATTAGGCGGTGTATAGATAATGGATGGATGGATGGACGTGCACATAGGGGAAGCTCCAGTGGTTAACTTACCAATAATCTGGTGGTTGCTGTTCCATATAGGAACACAAAGCACAGAGCGGATGTGGAAGTCAGAGAACTGGTCTGCCTACGAAAAATGGGAGAGTAAATACTGCATGAATTAGCATCAAACAGCTTTTTCATACACTTTATTAGAACTCTGATTTTATCTTCAGGTGTTAAACAGGACTTTTGTTCATTTTAGAGTTCATTTTATGTAGAAACAAAAAAACGAATCCAAATGTGTTAAACACTGATGCATTGGAGACTTATTTAAAAATGATGTTTTCACTCTTCAAAGCGAGAGAGAATGTACCTGTTCCAAAGCTCGAGTGTGGTATTAGCACAAGCATTGAAAGATTTAAAGCGATTGTGGGGTCTCTCGTAATATATTCATCACTGGAGTATTAACTATGTATACATGCCTCCCCTCTAATGGAAGAGCAGTGCTACATGGAAATATAAAACAACAGCGCGTTGCCGTCTCCGTTCATTTCAGTGAAAGGCGTGCTGGTGGCTCTTCTGTGTTAGAAATGAGAACAAACTTGAGTTTTTCCTGCCGCTGTTACTCAAGGTTGACCGTGTTAAACTTTTGCTTCTTGTGCTGGGAGTCTGCTTCCTGGTTTGAAGGAACCTTTTCTTTTTCCCCCTACAGAGATCAATTAACAGCTGACAAAGTGGAATAATGGAACCACCATGTGATGCCGATAAAAAAAGATTTAATGCTAGTTATAAAAAAGCACTAACTCAAGGGCAACCGGGCTTTACTTTAAATCTTAACTCCAAGAGGCGTCATCAGCTCTACCGACTGGCAGCCATTTTCATCCGTGTGAGCTCTTCACACCTGGATGAGTCCATAAGGTCACATGTGAGTCATTAAGGACAGACGCCGATCTTGTGAGAGCTCGGTGTCCAATTACTCCAGGTGTAAATTGTGATGAAACCGTCGCCGATGTCAACGTAACCTGATAAACAGCTCGGGGATGGATGTTACAGTTTGACATTCATGGTCCCCTTAATTTCTGTTTCGCACCTATCAAAACACACACTTATAATGCCATCCTGACACCACTTCCCAGGAGGTTTCATTAATGAAGCCATTAATGAATCCCATGAGACTTTATTGACCCGCGTGTGACATCAAGGTGTGAACATCTCATAGTGGTTTTAAAACGCACGGACTCCACAGCAGCCGGAGGAACTGTCTCGTAGGTGAGCAATGAAATGTGTTAAGCAGTGAGTCTATTTTCATACCTCTGGGTATATATGAAGAGTTCATTTGCAAGAACCATCTTCACAAACCTTCCGAAAACCCACTTCTCCATCGTCAATCAAACTTAAGTTGTCTCTATTGTTGTCATTTCTACTGAGTCAAATCCACTCAGCTTCAGTTTGATTGATATTATCTCAAGCAAACAACAAAAAAACAAAATTTTGGAAACTCTACAAAAATGAAGTTATCTGCTTTTGCAAATGAGCTCTTTATATAATGTCTGAATGTCTGAGAACCATCACAGGCACATTTCATACTGGTTCTTCTTATCATTTAGCTCAGGATGAAGTCCCAGTGATGTGAAGAGATGTGTCAGTGTGTGGTTACCTCAGCATCAAAGCGAGGATCCTGATAGGCGTCGCTGATGTTCACCGGCAGTCCTGTTGACGCCACCAGCTCTGCAATGCTGTTGTTGATGAGCCAGTCTGAGTACGACGATTTCTCCATACTGTCTTTGAAACTAGGGTCAGAAAATAAATTAGGAGGATGACAAAAGGGGGGAAAAACAATAGAGAAACAGGGCTGAATCTAATTTTGCTTTGCTCAGAGGATGCTTGGAGCATATTTTTTCTAATGCACTCCTTCAGCTCAGTTATCATGAAAATCAAAATAAAAAAAGTCAAAACTTTAATTATCACACCTGAAATGCAATCTTGCAAAAGACAGCTCCTCTTTCTTGTCTTTCACATCAACTTGTATTTAATGAACTTTTCATACAGCAGACGTCAGTAAACTTCTTCTGCAGCTTTATGAAGTAATGAAAAGTTAATTGTGTGATTGTCTACCTCATTGCCAAACGCCCCCACGCTCCGCCACAGAAACACCTGCATTGCTGCTCAGGCTTCCTATTAACATCTATTGCAGGGAGAGGGGAGGGGGCTGATTTTTTTTGTTGTTGTTGTTGTTTTCTTTATCTTCAAATGCTACGAGGAAAATGTTCGGCGCGGCTCATTTTGTCTTTCAAGATTAGAATAAAGATGGTGAGACACTGATGTCAGATCTTCTGATTCCCTTTGATCTAGTGATACAGCTGTGTGTGGATGCGCAGCCCACAGCGCGGCGGGGAATAAACCTCATGGGTGTGATGGCAGGATGCCTCACCTCCTTTTTACATTCGCTCTTCGGTCTCTTTGTCTGTCGTTTAACAGCGTTATCATCCCCGTGGGAGCTGCTGGTGATTGTTGGCGCAACAGAAATCCAGCAGTGCGCTCACCTTTTGACACTAAATTTCTTTATTTAATTACTCAAATAAATCGCCTTCCTTGTTGTTCAGATGTGAGTGGCAGCGGTGGCTCCTGGTTAGGTTGTCCACCAATCACAGGGTTGGTGGTTTGATCCCAGGCATGTGCCAAAAGGCAAGACACTGACACCCCAAGTTGCTCCTGATAGCTTTGCATAGCTAACATTGGTAAAGAATAGGTAAATGAGAAAGGCATTTTAAAGCCTGAAGGTTAAAGGAGCTAAATAAGTGCAGAACATCTGAACATAAAGGAAGGCTAATGTCATCACAGCGATGTCAGCATGGACTGAAATTTGCACAGCTGACAGCAGAAAACGTAGCAGAAGACAACATCGGCTAGTCTAGCAGCCTGATATGTATTTTATTAATAAATTCTTAATATTTTCTTGTGCTGTATTTTTTTTTTTTCCTTCTTTAAATTACATTTACAGTTATCAGTACTGGCTTGAAGTGACCACATCAGTTATGGCAAGTGCAGGACTCGGGGGGATAATTTGTCTTCCTTTCAGCGTTGTTTTCATCCATAAACATCCCACACAATATTAAGCCTCTCTTTCTCCACTCAGCCATGCCTAGCAGTGGAGAGAAGCAGCAAAACCCAATTAAGCAGGGCTCCCACAGTACGTCTTCTATTCAGAATCAGCATATTACTCCCACAGCACTACAGAATAGTCCATTTTTTTTCTCTTTTTTTTGTCCTTGATGGACAGATTTTTATTTTTTTTTAAAGGCTCTGTGCAGGATTTCCAGGTGCTGTTGTGCAAAGGGCAAAGAAAGGTGGAGTTATGGCTGTTTAGTGAGAAGGTATGACCAGAAGGGAAATGGAGGTTACTGAGGTGCAGATTAGATTTTAACAATGAAACATAATACATACCTGCTCTCAGTGTCTGCGCTACACTTCGGGGACAGAAGCTCAAATGACTTGGTGAACTTCACCACCTGAAAGATTTGAACAGGGAAAACCCACTAAAGCTTACAGAGATACACGGTATTTACTGAGGAGGAAAAAAAAAGAGGCAGACAGAAAGGAGAGACAAGCACATGCACAAATATACTGACAGGTAGACACACACACACACACACACACACACACACACAGCGGGACAGCAAAGAGAAAAACAGTACCGGTGACTCAATGTCCTCCAGCAACTGAACAGAGCAGCGCTCGCACTTAAGCAGCGTCTGGGCACGGTGCATGATCTTCCTGACAATCTTCTCCAGGTCAGTCTGTTCTTCAAACAGGTCATTGACTACCTCCAGGAGTGCCTGATCACCAGCGACAGAAAAAGATACCACTGGCATTATTCCCAACGATCTAAACCAAATGCAACTGCAAAACAGATTAAATAAGAAATCTGTCAGCGGGTGATAGGGAAGACCTTTTAGATAAAATAGTTTTGCCTCGCTCGGTTGTTGGAACCTGATTATTATCATTATCCTTAAACCATAAACCAACAGGATGATGAAACATGATTACTTTCCCCAATAAAAGTAAATTAGGCCCTTCATCTAAGGCACTACCCACACAATTTAATACACAAGCACATAAAAATCAGATGGTGTAAAGGGAGCTCTCCTCGTTTTTCTCTTCTACTCACTGAACTGTGTTCTCATTATGTTCTCTTCCATCACAGATCAATGTGTGACATGAATTAGTGCGTCTCTTATCATTCCATAAGAGGCTCGGATCATGGACCAGGCCCTTGTCTGGATACAGGCCCATCCCCCCTCCACAGATCCAGAGAAAATGTCCATGTAGGGCTGCATGCTGCTCTGTGATTCCCACTGCAGTGGCAGCAAGTGGGCTGCTGCTGATCAATACTCAGCCTCGATGTCAGCACCAGGAGGGGGGAGGAAGTAATGCTGATCCTACGGATGGGAGGGTTATTATCCTGGTTGGCCCTATGGCCCTTACCCGACTCCTGTCGTATTCCTTCCGTGAGGCTGAGAAGAGCTGGGCGTTGGAGATCGCAATTCCACAGAAGGGCAGGTACATCTGCAACACCTGTGGACACATTGAACACTTGTTAAAGTTGCTGACTTCATGCAGCTACAGGTATGAGATGCTTACTGAAATGAAACGTAATGCTGCTCTGTGGAATTTGTGCCCACTAGTGGCACTGTTATTAGTTTATCTGAAGGAAGTCCCCATTTTATTTGCATCACACAAGCGCGAGAGCAACACAATAAAGTCCTTCTAATGCTTTCATTCTACTCAACTCATTTACAAACAGGAGGAAGGTGAGGCAGGTTTATTTGTATAGTGCATCTCAACAACAAGGCGATTCAAAGTGCTTTACAGGGACATTAAAACATAATGGAAAACGTCAGAAGAAACACATTTAAAGTTCCATTGAGAATCATTTGAAACAAATCATTACAAAATTTAAGAAAAATTTAGTTTAAAAGTTAAAATATAATAAAATTTTAAGATTCTTAAAATAGTTTAGTAAAATAATTTAGTCAAAGGCAGCTGTGAACAGGTGAGTCTTTAACTTTGATTTAAAGGAACCGAGAGTTTCAGCAGACCTGCAGCTTTCTGGGATTTTGTTCCAGACATGTGGAGCACAGAAGCTGAATGCAGCTTCTCCATGTTTGGTTCTGACTCTGGGAACAGAGAGCAGACCAGACCCTGAGTAGTCTGGATGGTTCGTACTGGGTCAGGAGGTCACTGGTGCAATTTAAAACACTCAGAACTTTATAGACCAGTGGCAGTTTTTCTAAATCTATCCTCTGACCAACAGGGCGCCAGTGTAAAGATCTCAGAACTGGAGCGATGTGATCCAGTTTCTTGGTCGTAGTGAGGAGTCGAGCAGCGGCGTTTTGATTTTTTAGGTAAACCTGCAAAGACACTGTTGCAGTAATCAAGCCTACTAAAAATAAATGCAAGTTTTTTCCAGGTCCAGCTGAGACATCAGTCCTTTTATCCTTGATATATTCTTTAAGCGATAGCAGGCTGACTTTGTAATGGCCCTAATGTGTCCGAGTCCATGACTGCACTCAGATTTCTGGCCTGCTCTGCAGTTTATAGTTGTATAGATTGGAGTCATGTGTTGACTTCTAATCTCCCCTCTTTTGGTCCAAAAACAACTATCTCAGTTTTGTCTTTGTTTAGCTGAAGAAAGTTCTGGCACATACACTCATTTACTTGTTCAGTACATTTACCTAGTGCCTGTATAGGGTCATGATCTCCTGGTGATATTGCAATGTAGAGCTGTGTGTCGTCTGCATAGCGATGACAACATATTTTGTTGTTTTCTATTATCTGAGTCAGTAGGAGCATGTAGATGTTAAATAGAAGAGGCCCCAGGGTGGAGCCTTGGGGAACTCCACATGTAATTTTTGTCTGCTCAGATACAAAGTTGCCTATAGACACAAATTAGTCCCTGTTCTTTAAGTCAGATATGAACTAGTTTAGTACTGTGCCAGAAAATCCCACCTAGTTCTTCAGTCGGTAAAGTAATATGCTGTGGTCCACTGTGTCAAAAGCAACACTGAGATCTAGCAGTACTAAAACTGAAATACTGCCACTGTCTGTGTTTAAGTCACTGAACACCTTAACAAGAGCAGTCTTGGTGCTGTGGTGCTGCCTAAAACCTGACTGGAAGATACTGAAGCAGCTGTTCTGTGTTTTTAAAAAAAAATCATTTACCTGTTTAAAAACTGCTTCTTCAATTATTTTACTTAAAAATTGAAGATTAGAAATTGGCCTGTGATTGTTCGTCAGTGTCTAGATTGTTCTTCGTTAACAAGGCTGGATAACAGCAATTTTCAGGGTCTGTGGAAAGACGCCTGACATAAGAGACAAGTTCAGTATCTGTATAAGATCAGAGGCTGTTACCTGTGAAACCTTTTTAAAAATCCTGTGGGCAGGACATCTGGGCAGCAGTAAGAGGAGTTTAGCTGATGTACAATGTCCTCCAGATTTTTATAGTTCATGGGATAAAATTGTGTCATGGTGTTTAAGTTGTTTAAGCTAATTTTAAGTAGGCACAGCACTTATCCTGGACCTGATGTAGAGCTGCTGACTGCTTGTCTAATTTTCTGAATTTTGACTGTAAGAAATGAGGGAAGAAGGAGGGTTTATTAGCCTGTCGACAGTAGCAAGTAAGGAATGAGCAGTAATGTGAATCAAAAAGCAATGAGGCAACAAAAATACAAAAGTTTCATGAGGAGAACAATGCATTTAAACATGTTTATTAGAACTTAAAGTTAGTTTTTTGTGTCTTTACAGCTCCACAGGGCATCTTTAATATTGTATTGTGTTGTTTGTTGGAGGAAAACAACAACAACAACAAAAGAGTAATATTTTCATGACAGAAAAACTTAGCTTTTGAACTGGAACAAATAAGAAATGGCCTTTCATCAGCATTATTACTTGCTGGGACGAATAAATCAATCCGACTGGCATTTTACCGTTTGACTGAATAGTCTGACTCACTGCGCCTTGGGCTGATAACGCGAATTCCTTATTTCACTCATATTTTCTTCACATAAATAATGTAATCACTTGATGTGGCCTAATGACTGTAGTTAATATGTATCCTGAAATCGAATCGATGCCTTACTAGTTTGGAGTCGAACTACATTTCTTTCCTTCCTCGCCGCTGTTGACTCATAATGAATATCAATACACACTCTGCTGAAGGGCGGCCTCGGCTACTACGACAACTGCGATGCGACGGCACAACAATGTGGCCTTATCTGAGAGACCCTCAGCACCCCCTCCTCTCCCCTCCCCTGCCTCCAATAACGTGGAATCAATAGAATTTAGGCGGTGTGCTTCCTTACTCTGCCTCTTTGTTTAGCTATCTATCTTTAGCATCTGGCTGCTGTGTAAACAATGCAATCAGTACAACAAACCCACTAATATTTACCAGCCTTCAGCCTGACCTGAGGGGAGGCACGCCGCAACAATGCATGAATGGGAAGTTACTCAGCTGTGTGGCAGCTGATACAGGAATATCTCTTTCGCCTCTCCGACATGATAATGTATCAGTTACTCATCGGGCCACAAATGAACATGTGACAAATACAACCCTGTAGCATCTCACGGCCTGTACCTGCGACCTACTAATGAAATATTGTCTGGGTAGTCCACTGATTCAGCCTTATAGAGCCGGTTATGGCTTCCATATGAGGTGCTGTTACATGCAGGATTTTGTTTGATATGCTTGAGTGGAAAATACAAAACACAGCGTTATAATAAAGGTAGAACAATATTCATACAGTGATAATCGTGGGCTTGAAATGGCACCACACGCTGGCTAACGTTGAGAAACTCTTCTGTAATTGCTAGAATCTCCTTTTACAATCAAGCAAGAGTCTCCTGGGTGGCTGTCTCTGCCTATTCAATAACAGCAGGCCTATCTGGATCTAAACAGCATGCTGACTGTATGGCAGGAATGGATTGTTTCTGCTAAAGAGAGACTCTAATGACAAAGCAGATGAAAGACTGAAGGAATTTACAGTGTGTGTGTGTACTGTACATATCTGTGTATCGCACTGGCTGCAAATCCTCCATCATTTGTGAACCGGATCAGCTAGAATCACACAAGCTTCGCCGCTCATCTGTTGAATGTGTGTACGCGCAACCCGCCGGAGTTAGAGTATCGTGTTTATGGTGGTATATTATTAATCATCACATAAATTCAATCAATCAACATCAAACGTGTATTTGTTCTGCTCTGGCATGTCGCACATGGTGAAGCGCTAATTAAATCCCTTAATTAAAAGCAATTGTCTTCAGAACAGATGACGCTGAGCAGTAAGTTCATACATAATGCTATTTCAGCTGTCCTATGGAATTCTCTAATAATGATCTTCCACGGAGAGGCAGCGGCCGTCAATAGGCCCAGCAGGAGCGGATTCATTAGCGAGCAGGACTTTGGGGATCTGGCTATGGATCTGTCTATAAGAACTAACAGGCGAACCCAAGGAAAGCACTGCTCTCTCTAATTACATTCTGTCAGGCAGGCCATTATACACGGTTGCATTACAAACAAGACGTTTTATGCCTGGAGACCTCAGGACTGACCAGTAAAGAGGGGTTTAATAACAAAACTAACTGGCCGCAGCCTCGGGGACAAGTCGGCCTCCTCTGAACCGCAATGACTTTGTTTTCCACAACTGGAATTTCATGTAAAGCAAGTCAGAGGAAATTTTGTTGCTCCATGTGAAAGGCAACTATTGGGTGACTTTAAAAGCTGTGTTCACCTTCTATGTGCAGTAAAGACAAAGAAAATGTGGATACCACTACTGATATTTACTTTAAAATGACAAAGCGACATTGAGCAGCAGCTAACCCTCCAATTACCTTCAAATTTACTGACATCTTTTATCCTTTGGTTCAAATTGACTCCAGCAATTTAAACCTCCAGAAAATATCATAATTAAAACTGTTACCCAAGTTTATGAGTAAATGATGAAGCAGTGAGAGTGTCAAATGACAAAAATAAAATAAATAAATAAATAGATAGAAAGTTATTTTTTTAAAATGAAAGTGGAAATAAAAAAGAAGAATAACTAAAATAAAAAAAAATAAATTATGTGGCAATATGAGGCAATATTAATCAAAAATAAATCCATAAAAGCAAAGGCTAATAAAAGTGGAAATATAAAGACAAATGAATAAAATAATAAAAAATAATATTAATTTATTTATTCATTTTTATTTTTGTTATTTTTTTAATTTATTATTATGTTTTGTATTTATTTATTTTGTATTATTTTTTTCATTTTAAAACATTTATTTATTTGTTTATTTGTTTATTTATTTATTTATTTATAATGTCACTTTAAAAGCATTAGCTTTTTCTGTTATGGATTCATTTTTGATTAATATTGCTTTATATTGCCACATTATTTATTTTTTTATTTTATTCATTCTTCTTTTTATTTTCACTTTTATTTTTTTAATTCTTTTATTTATTTATTTTTGTCATTTGGCACTTTCACTACTCCATAGTAAATATCCCTTTAAATAAAACTGAAAAAATTATGCCA